GTCGACAAAGCGCGCCTAATGCCCCTGGTATTGCAGGCGTTCATAAGCCACGGTAGTACAGTCTGTTCAGTTCGCAGTTATGTAACAGTATAGGTCAGTGATTCTCAACCACTGTGCCGCGGCACTTTTGTCTGCCGCCAAATTTTAAAAATGTGCCGCCAAATTTTGCAAATATTTAAAATTTTTGTCATAAACTATTTATGCAGTGTGTTGTAGTAAGTAAATAATTTTTATCTTTTTCTTTGTGTGCCGCCAAATTTTGAAATCGTTAAATATGTGCAGCAACAAAAAAAAAGGTTGAGAATCACTGGTATAGGTAACTGGGTTTATTTGAATACATACCGTAGATTGATAAAGAAAATATTTACTTATACTAATACTTTTTATATCTATATACTTAAAATATTAACAAATTGTAATAGTCAATCTCCTTAGATAAGCTCTATGCATATAAAAAAAACCTGGGATAATTGTACCTAATAAAGTTTTTCAATAACTCCTATTCCTCGCTGCAGAGTTTATAAAGTTTTCAGAATACACTCTTCTTGTAAATTTAAGGATGTGCTTCAATAAGAAATGTCTCGTCCGACAGGCTTTTAGCTGAATAAGCTCTAAAACTTTTAAGACAGTTTTGTATTTTCTTTAATTTTAACACATTCACTCCGTGCCATTACAATGATACTTGTAAAGTTTTTTTATTATCCTACTCCTGACCAAGTACATTTACTAAGGGACTCAAATCAGTCTGTCAAAGTTATTACATTGAATCGTGACAGCGCTCGTTGTTATATTAAATTTACTAATTTGTGACATTTTGTTATATAAATACATACTATATACATAGAATGGAATTTTTAACCTGTGATTTCAAAATAGCATTTATCACAAAATTAATATAGGATAAAAAAAATTGTCATTGAAAATACATATTAAATATAGACTAATTTTAATAGAATGGGCCACCCCTTCCCTTTCCGTGGGTGTCGTAAAAGGGAACTTAATGGTCTAGGGATGGGCAGCAGCATCTCTCTTAAAACATCACCAAAGGCAACTGCAGTTGCCAACCCGCCTGCAAAACGTGGCAACTAGTGGCCAAACCCCCCTATACGGGAAAGGTCTATGTTCAACAGCGGACACTTAATAGCTGATATGATGCTTATGATAGACTAATTTAGAACTCTTCTTTTGAAAGCCACATACATTTTTAAAATGTACTCCTAAACACCTTCCTTTCTTTATTCACACGTAAATCGTACCTATCTATTGTATGTTAATATTTTTATCTACTTTCCGACATAAAATGTCGACTATCACATACAATAAGAGTAATTTCATGTTCCTACATATAATGTGTACGTCGTACATACACCTGTCATGTGAAATACCTACCTTACTTTGAGAGCACGACTAACAACTTATTTCATGAAATAATATTTACATTATTCGGTAAAGATACGCTTAATGTATCTTCGTGTAATTCAACACTAAAGATATATAGACCTAGAATTTATCTCCGTAAAATGAGTGGCGGCAAACATTTGGCTATATCTAATCAAATAATCCTAAAAGGAAACGTACGACCTACACGAACCTTATTTGCCGTACCGAGTCAACACGAAATCACTTTCTGTAATCGTTTGATGACCTAACTTCGTGGCTTGTTGCAAAACTTAGGTCATTAAGCTTTCACGAGGGTAAGACAAAGCTATAAATGGGGGTAAAAGCATCCTTTTATGCAATGCTACCTATGATCAGTTCGGTTTATTGTTATCAATATAAAAAAATAAATTCTCTAAAAAATAATTCAAATTCGAATTTATTTATTGTCAGATAAGAAGATCCATTTAGTTAGTAGTAGACTTAAAATTATTGTATTGTATCGTGTTGTAAAATTAAAAAAAAAATTACCGTCCATGCTGCTAGATTGTGGAATTCTCTTCCCATATCTATCCTTGAATCAATAGACTTAAAGAATATGTATATATATATATATATATATATATATATATATATATATATATATATATATATATATATATATATATATATATATATATATAATATACCTACACATAGATAAATAAATATATATTCATAGAGATAGATGTTTATATAAATAATTGATGTGTACAATAAAGTATTAAATAAATAAACTACAAATATATAAAAACAGAGTCTCGAACATAATTAATGATACATAAAACTCAGTGACTACTGTTAGACATCAGAATACCTGTCTCAGTAGATTTCATGTATCTCCTCCGAGACTTGTGGGTACCATGATTATTTTCCCATAGAAAAAAGGTATTAAAATACCTAACAGTACCTGCTGAATTTAAATATTTTTCTCTGACACCTTCTGTTACAAGATAGCCTTAATTAAGTGTCGTTCGTCCATCACATAGCCACAGGCTCTTCTAATTAGCAACTCATCTCAAAAAGCAATTTGTTTTATAGTAGAGAGTAAAAAATATTGCGTTGTATTTTAAATGCAAAATTCTCTGTTGTAAAATCAATGTGGCGTAAAATTAAACCGAAATTAAGATTATTCATAATTACAACACATTAAGATTTCAAATCCTCGGGGAATTCTTCTGTTTTTATTTTATACCTGCCATATATTAAGTGATATTTACGCCAATTCTAATTATTGATCTCTGACTAATTTTGTAAAAAGTGAATACAACACAATTTTATTTTAACTAGATATGGGTACCTTCACCCGCGTGATTCACTATCTTATATCTAGGTTAGAATATAACCTATGTATGTATGAATAATAATATCATTTAAATATTCAGCAAACTTTACGTGAAAGAAGAACAAACTTTTGTTTTTATACTAATAGTAAAATTGTTAATATACGTTAACTAATCCTTACTAATATTATATAAATGTGAAAGTGAGTTTGTTTGTTAGTTGGTTGTTTTGCAAAATTACGGTTTTATGGACCATCACAAATTAAATTTATAACAATTTCGACCTAAATCTATTTGAAATTTAGTCCATACAATAAAAATTTCGCTGTGATATCAAATTTTACTTTTAATTTTAGAGATAGCTTTAGCGAATTGGCGCTTCAGAATCGACCCCAATGTTTCGACCCCATTTCTTTATTTTTGAAAGTTAATTAGATTCCTTTATAGTTATTGTTAGAGTACTTAGGATTGTTATATTTTATTCATTCACCATTCTTTCTTTAATGATTTCGCTAACACATTTCCTTTCTTAATATATACTTACATTCCTATCGATATAATTAAACGGGCTGGCAACAACCTGAACAAATTTAAACTTCAATTGGCCCACTCATTTATTTAATTACTAAAACATTCGTCAAAAGTTCAACTTCACAATGGGAGTCTGGAAGTCTCTATAAAACTTTGTCGGTGCGTTGAATTTATAATATACCTAATTAATTTTCGCGCGTTTAAGCTGCCAAATTCAGTATAAATATAGGGCATTTATAGCATATAAGGGAGCGTCCAGGTGTGAATATTTCGTATCGTAACGTCGTAGCGCCTGCAACGCGTTGGCAATGAGCGGAAAGAAATTATTAATAATGAAGTCTAATAGCAACGTTGTTAGCAATATACTTTATCAGATCGACCTCCACGCGGTCCTCTCTGATAACCATCGTGATAAATTCCATGTCATGTGTAAATTTATCATGACGGTCCGTCAGGACCTGACTTCAACGTCAGCTATCGTTTTTTTACATTCAGTACAAGAATGAACTGAAAGGATTCTTAGTAATGCGCACTACCAGTTCCATTGCTAGAAATATACCCTGTCAGGTTGACCTCCACGTGATCCACCTTGGAAACCATCGTGCGATGAGCTGAGGTGACCTACCTTTTCATTCTCACCTATCATCCCTCACTTGTGCCCCGCTAGCGTATACCGTTAACGTAGGCGGTGTTACCATTTCATGATCATCCATTTTGCCGTTCCGCAAGTTTACCGTTCCATCTTTACTCATTTAAAAAGCGCGATAGCTGATAGGCTGTGCAAAGATAAACTATTTGCTACATATAAGTGAAACACGAAAAATCTGCAACTTGTTATGAACTAATCTATCGTAAGATATCAATGTCGTATTGTAAAAGCATCTTATAAATAAAATTTTACGGTCAACCGTATGGATAGTACTATAAAGGTATCTTGGATTACAGTTTATAGTAGGTATTTATGAAATAAGACAGTCTCCTTACTATCAATCAAGTGCTTTTATCCCTCAGTGAACTTTTACGACCGCAAAATCCTACCTACGTCGGCGAAAGCTCAAGTGATAATAAAATAAGGGTGGTCAACACGTCGAATAACTGACAGAACGGGAAATTTAATAAAAACCACATATATATGCGTATTAACTAAATCCTGAACGTTACAATACCTATGGGTGGGTGACAGTTCAGTAAAACCTTAAAAATATTATTATTTCAATTTAAAATTATGCACTGAATTCACTGTTTCAGTTTTTGCCAACCTGTCCATTAAATCCCGTATCGAGACAGAATGTAAAGAATAATTGATGAAATTTTATTGATTGTTTAATAAGTTTGAAGCTTCTGAACAAAATTTTTGTTGTGTTTGAAGCGTTATATTTCATTAAATGCAAAAAAGGCCTCCCGAGTTGCTACAGAGTACCAATCCCTTCCACAACTCAGTACCCACCCCTCTTTCCTTTTCCACATAAATACTTTTTTTTTCCTTTATTCATTTCCAAACTTTTCTTTTTTTTTTCCTCAATCCTTTCCTCCTTAACGTTAATGACGAAAACTACAAACAAATCACACGTATTTCCAAAACGGGTTGACCTCAGGCAGGCAGCTATTTATAAAACTATTAGCCAAATCTTTTTATAATAAAAGAGTGGAAGAGAAAAACATATGCCGACCCCAAATAAAAATTGGGATAAGGAAGTGGATGAAACCAACTAATTTCTATTCTACAGTGCTATATCTATAGTCACCAAAATCCGTAAAAAAAAACACTAGCATGTTCAAATTATATTTATTTTATATACTATAACATGTATTATCACATTGTCTACGTTATATCAGGCACGCTGCCAGTCCACCAAAACACTAAGCTGTTTTCAGTATTTTGTGAATATCGTAAATCTTGTAAAATTTCTTGCTCGCATTCACTATTAAGTTCTTCTGGATTCATTTGTCTATTTAATATATTTGGTTCGTTTTCATCAAGTAATGTGAAAGGATCAGTAAAATGATACTGTCCCGAACCAGTAGCCACTATGGGTCTGTATGGATGAATTGACACACTATTACAGCAATCTCTATGTATGGGAAACTGAAAAGAAAAGAAATTTATTATATTTGTGTATAACAGACTCAAGTCAGAGGGAGACTTTGTACAAAAGTCGATTGCTTGGGTACCTCTGTCCCATTCGTGTTTCAACCGTGAAGCAGTTGTGTTTGCATGGCTGTGTTTCGGTTTGAAGAGTGGGATATGGCGTGAATTTACTGGGTACAGAGGAATAACATCTGAATCCTCAGGAATGGCAACACATGGGAGGTATCATGAGCGAAATAGTATACTCTGTTATGTCCATGGTACTGCTCGTGTCTATAGGCGACGGTTACCACTTTCCATCAGGTGGGCCGTCAGTTTGTTTGCCATTATAAGTTGCATAAAAAAAAAAAGTAATAGTAAAGATCATTATAACAGTTAATATCAGCTCTGTAAATGTAAGTAGAAGAATGTTTTTTTTTTTATTTTTATTTATAAAAAATGTATAATTATATTTAAGCTGTGTAAGCTCTGAACAAGTATATGTTTTTTTTTTAATGGATGATAATAGAAAGATAACCCCGCCTGCGCCATCTATGTACGCTGGCGGGAAATATATACTATATTTCTAGCAAGCGAATCCTTGTTCTTCCCTTAATACTTTAATTATAGTTAATATAAATAAATGTTATCGTGTGGTCCCGGCATAGAATAGGCCACCCTTTCCGTTCCCGTGGGTGTCGTAAGAATCGAATAAGGGAGGGCGAGAGATGGGCAGCAGTGTCCTTCTTAAAACACCTCTAAAGTTGTCAAGTTGCCAACCCACCTGCCAAGCGTGGCAACTACTGGCAAATCACACTAAGGGGGAGGCTTATGTTCAGCAGTGAACAGTTAAAGTCTGATTATGATGATGATGAAGAAGAAATATGTGCTGAGTGGTCAGAGAATAAACTGGTTGCTCATCAATATTGGTGAAGTGTAGAATCATGAAGGGAAGGAACATACTAGTAAATATGAGAAAATACAACAGAATTTAATAGGATACGACCGAAGAAATGGTGAAAAGACTATGTGAAAGATGATATGTACGAGGTCTGTCCGGAAAGTTCGTATAAAAGTGTTCTGGAATGCGAGAAAGAGGAGTGGGGAGGCCAGGTAAGCGCAGGACCCCTTCCTTATGTCCCTAACAATGCTTCAGTTCTGGTCTGACCGCCGTGCGGTGCGAACTGGCTTGTCACGCCATCTGTGAAGTTACCTCTTAACGAAACCCCGTCGGCATGGAGCCCGCTTCCGTTGAAGAGCAGCGCGTCGTAATCAAGTTTCTCTCGAAACTCGGCAAGAATGGCCGTGAAAGCAAAGAGTGGAAGACATCCGGGGAACCACGAACAAAAAAATCAAGAAAATCCCGCTCAAATGTCAAGACAATGTTGATTGTTTTTTTCGATGTTCGGGGGATTGTTCATCAAGAATTCGTCCCTCCAGGCCAGACAGTTGATGGAAAATTCTACGTCGATGTGCTCAGACGCCTCAAAGCTCGTGTGGCACGAGTTCGTCCAGAATTGGCGCGAGAGGGGCGTTGGATTCTTCACCACGACAATGCCCCTGCCCACACCTCTCTTGTTGTCCGTGAGTTTTTGAGTAAAAATTCCATTACGGTGACCGAACACCCCCCTATTCGCCGGATTTGGCCCCGTGTGACTTCTTCTTGTTCCCAAAAACCAAATTGGTACTTCGGGGGCGGCATTTGGGGGACATAAATGAGATAAAAAAAGCTACGACGGGGCAGCTGAGAAACCTACAACCAGAGGACTTTCAAGGAGCCTTCTCACAGTGGAAACGGCGTTGGCACAAGTGCATTATGTCACAGGGGGAGTACTTTAAAGGGGATAAAATTGATTTACCTGAATAATTGTAAAATAAAATTTTTAAAAAACTTTTATACGTACTTTCCGGACAAACCTCGTATAAAAGAGGAGTGCGCTCAGAAATAACAGTTGAAAGGGATTTGTGGAAGGAGTTGCGCCAACCCCAAATATAGGAAAATGAGGCCATAGTGTATCGTAATGCTATGATTTATGTAGGCTCACATAATTAATTTACCAATACAATACCCACCTTAAATGTAACATTATCAATATCCACATCAGTGACGTCTAAACTTGATTTCCAATCCACTTGTTCCACATCCCACACTTTAAGTATCCCATCCGTTCCACCGGATACCAAATATCTACCACATGGTGATATATCAAAATATACCCTTTGATTGGTGTTAACAACCCTGCTCAATATGTTTAGTGGCCTCCTGTAATATCTGATATCCCACACAAGTAGGCGATGATCTTTGCGTGCTCCTGATACAAGTCTTAAGCCATCTGGTGTGAACTTTGCATGTGTAACGCCACCTGAAGATAGAAATATATCAATGAATTATTTCCATGCCATAGAAACAATACTTTTTTTTTTATACAACTTAGAATGCCAAACAAGCTGACGGCCCACCTGATGGAAAGTGGTAACCGTCGCCTATAGACATGAGCAGTACCATGGACATAACAGAGTATACTGTTTCGCCCATGATACCCCCCATGCATTGCCATTCCTGAGGACTCAGGTGTTATTCCTCTGTACCCTGTAAATTCACGCCATATCCCAGCCTTCAAGCCGAAACACAGCCATGCAAATACAACTGCTTCACGGTTGAAACACGAATGGGACAGAGGTACTCAAGCAATCGACTTTTGTATTTACACAGCTAATCGGCTGCCGTGTAGTCCCGGCATAGAATGGGCCACTATTTTCTTTCCCGTGGGTGTCATAAAAAGCGACTAAGGAGGCCTATCTTCAGCAGTACAGTTAACGACTGATATAATAAAAAAAAAAAACGGCGAATAATCCTTCTAAATCATATAATCCTAATATAACTAATATAACAAAATTGTAACTAGACTATCTGCACATGATACTGTTCATGTCTATAGGCGACCACTTACACTTTCCATTAGATGAGCAATTTAGCTTGATTGCCATTGTAAGTAACATAAAAAATATTTAAGAATAAATAATATGAGGAATCTTAATAAGATGACATTTTATTCATTACAGTGTATTTAACATACTGCCGTTTTTTATACCACAAATGTGGCAAACAAGCATACAGCCCTTCTGATGGTAAACGATCACTGTAGCCTATAGACGCCTGCAACACTAGGGGATATCACGTACGCGCTGCCGACCCTGAAGAAATCTTAATATATCCCTTTTAAAGAACCCCATACTGTAGTCTCTAGGAAATACCTCAATAAGGAGCTCATTCCACAACCTGAGCATTAGTGGGAGAAAATTTGTCTGAAACCGCACTGTACATGACTATTTAGGCTCAAGTGAGTGAGAATGAATTCCCTGTCGATTACGAGCAGTGCGATGATAAAAGGCAGCTGTAAAAAATGGCATTTCAAACAATTCCTCAGAACACAATCTGTTATACAAGCGGTAGAATACACAAAAGGAGACAAAGTCTCACCTTAGACCAGCCTTTCCCAAAGTGGGCGATAACGCCCCCTTGTGGGCGCTGTAGGCCTAAAGGGGGGCGGTAAGAGACCCAGAAAAAAAATTAGGGCGTTCTGTAGAGGCTTGGGCAGTGATTTGTAATTTGAAGTAATTGTGGTTTTTAAGTAGATGAAAAAATGGGGGTGCTAAAAAATAATTTATTCTCAAAGTGGGCAATAGACAAAATAAGTTTCTCATAGCCTGTCTTTGAACCGAGTCAAGAGGACCAAACTGGTATCCAGGTGCTAGGGCTCACAGAGCAGTCTGCCTGTTTATATTAACTACTTATCTGTAGTAATGTAGTACATAATATACAAACTACTTAATGTAGAAGTAGATGGTACTGTATCATTTAATAGATAGATATATAGTCCAGGGCTATTACATACCTGAATGTCCATGCATTTTCCCTATACTTTTGTATGTTCCCATTTCACTAATATTGTACAAACTAATGGTTGTATTCCAAGATCCTACAGCCAGCAAATTACTATTGGTAGCAAAGCATGATGCAGAACTTGTAATCTTGTGTTCAGAGAAATCTCGGCCTGGCCTGCAAATACAATATAAACATAAAAGAAATATTATTATTAAAATAGGATGTATCTGATTATTTGAGTCCATTCTTACCTTAGGTTCTTGTTTCGAAAAACAAATAGCTAGGTATGATATTGAAAAGAAACCTAAGAGAAAAAATAATAATAAAAAATTACACATATTACTTCATCTGGTAATAAGAATGGGGATGATGACACACATTATCCCTATTCATATCAAATATAATAAGAGGTGATTAGAGCAATAAAGGGAAACTCAAAATAGACCCCTTAAAGTCCTTTGTGATAAAACTTTTCAGTATCTATTTTCTATCCTTGCTCCTTCATAGTAGATATAGAGAAATGAAATTACTAATGCCTCTATCCCTACATCTCTTGCTACATGCACTTTTATAATTACTACAAAATAAACTATTTCCTTGTGTATGTTACATTATATATGTGTATATTATATACATATGTTATAAAATGTAGTTCTGAAAGAAATATGTGTCTGATATTTTTGTGTAATGTAGGTTTTATATTTTATGCATGTAAAAATTATTATTTCACTCTTATGCCACCTACCCACCTCTATCTGTTCTCCTTTAACCAAAAGTTATCTGTAAGAGATTGCTGTAGTGATAAAACCGCTTTTTGTAACTTTGTCTACATTTTTATCTATAATTATCACTGTATATTTTTATGTTTTTGGTAAAATAAAGAATTAAATAAATAAACTACTAAAACTACACAGTGTATGCTTTCATTCGTAACCTGGTTTTGTTATGAAGAGTCAAGCAACAAACATCTAAGGGCACAATGCAGAACACCAGATACTAGCCAACTCAATAACTTGTTTGCTAAATTGACCTGCATTTATGCAAACCAAAAATAATTATTAATTACATTATTTACCTCTCCACGTCAAATGTTCTAAGCACTTTCTTATAACCAGCAATAATCCTAGTTCCTTCTTGACTGAATGTAATGGACAGAGCTGGTTCCATCTCGTCTACAGAATTGAATCCTCTGTAGGAACAACGTAAGGAGCCATCAAAAGCATCCCACATTTGTATTGGAGCATTTTGGCGTGTTGTAATCCAACTGTAAATAAATATTTGTATATCTTTAATTGCAAAGGTTATTAATGCTTTCATATAATAATCAAAAGATTACTTTCTGTTTGATACTTCAATTTACTAATTGAAATTTTATTTTGTGGTATTTTCATTATTTTATGTATTATAAAGAAAAATTAATTACAACATTATTTCATTTTTTTAATTTTTTTTTTTACTTTTTTTTACATAGTAATGCTCTTATTCTTAAAAAAAAAAAAGTCAAATATAAACCTATTTTAGGTATTCAACTGTTCCCAATTTGAAAAAAATACAAAACAGTTCAATAACTAAAATAGGTCTGTAGTAGGTTTTAGTGTTTATAAATAAGGGGGTAATAATATTTTTACATGTAAAAAAATATGACAGTGGAAAACAAATGCTTGCTTATAATTATTTCCTTTTAAATATAATTTTGCATATAATAATTCCAGATTGATGTGAAAATAAGCAATACAATCACTAATACAAAAATGAGAATCATTTACCAGAGGGAGATTGTACAAAAGTTATTTTTGTATTTACAGGTTTGTATTTTGTATTTATTATATTTGAATTTACAGGGTACAGAGGAATAACACCTGAGTCCTCAGGAATAGCAATGCATGGGGGGTATTATGGATGAAAGAGTATACTCTGTCATGCCCATAGAACTGCTCATGTCTATAGGTGACAGTTACCACCTCTGTTCCATTTGTGCTTCAACCTTGAAGCAGCTGTTTGCATGACTGTTTTGGTTTGAAGGGTGGAATATAGCAATGAATTTACAGGGTACAGAGGAATAACACCCGAGTCCTCAGGAATAGCAAAATTCAAAATCTCAGTAGCAGTAACATGAGACTTTCTAAAGACCGCTAACTTATATGTCAATTATATAATAAATAAACATATTAACACTAACCAACATGTTTCTGGGATGTTACTATTCATGCCAGGATACCAGCAGAAATCATATACCAATCCAGCTTCTTTTACATGTATGATTGAATCCAACACATCTATTGTCCGATCTGCAGTTACAGAACCTGAATATAAGTCTCGTGGTAACTCTGTTACATGGACCCCATCATTGTTGACCACAGACAAGCAACAGGTACCATCTGGCGACCATTTGCAACCTCGCAAATAAGGTTGCACATTCTGTTTAGTTTTAGGGGAACGCGACCATGAAGAGCTACACAGTTCTAGTAATGTTCTGTTAGGGAACAAGGACGGATATTCGAAGACATTTTTTATACAGTCCGATTCACAAGTGGTATTTACTATGCCGGTAACAGACTCAGATTCGTTTGGTTCTCCGTCAGAATACGTTTTATCTACATTACTGGAATTGATTTCTAAAAAATTTATTAACTCAGGTGCTCCAGAACTGTTCTGACTATCAATTTCCATGACAGTATCCATCAGCCGGTAATTCAGTACGAGTCCGGCATTGATGTTGTAGCTTTTTATAGTCTTAAGCTATCACAAGTAAATAAATTTAATAGCAATATATCACTTTACACTTAAAAATCACAAATCTCAAAATCACTTAATCTTAATTTTCAGGTATATTATTTCAAAATTTGTTTATTTTCGCGATTTTTTAATATGCACATAAAACGGATATCAAGATTGTCAGGTTAGGTTTATGTGTGTATTTGTGGATCAACTGTCAAATCAATGTCAAGTTGACGTGATAAGTTGAAAATAAAATTATCTATAAATTCTCTGTGATAAAAATTTAACTCGTGCTTGACGTGAAACCTAAACACAGCGATTTATTAATATAAACCAAATTGAAATTGTATTTTCCGCAGAAATAAACCAACTGTTATAAGAGTGTTAACAAAAAAATGGTATAATGATAACAAAATTTACCCGCGAAGTATTTTGTAACTATATTTTATACCTATTGGTGATATTTTATAATAAAATTCATACGAAATTAGAATTATGGATTTAAATAATCAAATTATTACAGATGAGGCTTAAATTCTTCAGCCGTGGATTTTATTTTCATAAAAGAAGTTTGTGCAAAATGGCTTTTACGGAATCTCCAGCAAAAGCATCGTTATGTTGCGAGGAAAGTACGGAAGGAGCTGCGCCGACATACGCTATGTACGAAGCTCTAAAAGATTCTTGTCAAAACAACGCGACATATTTCCAACCAGATGATACCGAGAATGGGCAACGATTGTATCAGGGTTTCATGACTCTGATGGATCATATTGATACTGTGTGGCCTTTGGTTGATCATGTTCGAAAAGTAAGTCTTTGCAATGCTATATTCTTTTTATGTGGTGTACTGTAAAACTACTTACAACAATTTAAACAAAAACTATTAGATAATTATATTTTTTTAATGGATACAAATAGTAACTACCATCTGTATATACCAAATAATTTATAATATCGTTATCTGTATATTATGTTTTACTGGTTCTAAATACATTTATTAGGTTTTACTTATTTTTACCTTAGTATAGTTACTTAGTAGTTTATTATCATAAATTTATCATTGTCATGAAGTAGCTACAACTATGACTATAGGAAAAAAAATTAAATAAAAATATAAAGTGACAAATAACTAGGTATAATGGTGGATTATCTCTGAAAAGCATTTCTTCAAGTCAGTACCCCAGCACTATCTATTTATTTGTACAAAGTATCCCTATACTTTGTACAAAAATCTGTATGGAAAACATTTGTCTTATCCATATTTCTACCATGAAACATCTATGTTTGCATGGTTGTTTTATGGTTTTTTTTTGTGTGATGCATGAAGATGGAATGGAAAACCCCATGTGATATGCCCTATCAGAATGTATCCGTGCTAGTGGGGTGAATGAAGGATGACAGGTGAGGATGAAAGCAAATCATAGCCATAATGACCAATTGAAGAAGAATGAACCACCATGGTTTTTAGGGGATCCCATGGTGGTTGACCTGATATGGTGTATTGGTAACAATAGGGCTGTTATACCTCATTACTAATAATCTCTTTCCCCCTGCTGTGTTATGGTTAGAAGGGTGGGATATAGCAATGAAATTACAGGATATGGAAAATTAATACTGTAGTCATCAGATATAGTGATGCATGAGGGGTAATGCGTGTTATGAGTATCACACTATTCTGTAGTATCCATGATGCTGCTCATATCTATAAGTGATAATCACCATATTTTATCACTTGTGGCATTATTTCCCATGTTAAGTAGTCTCTTGAAGCGTGGAGAACACAAAGAAGAAAATTAATTCTATAAAAAGATTATAAAAGTTTTCAACTTGTAATCAATTTACCATTCACAAAAAAGGTGATCAGATATGACCGAATTATGTATGTTGAACTTTGTTCATCTTCAAAGATAAATGTAATAAAAAGTAACAATCATGTTGCAATAATTTTGATAATTATTTTCTCATAACTACTATTAACTGATAAGTCTGTTATAATATGAGATCAAGTCGAAAGTACAAGTGTGAGTCATAATTGAACTTTCAGATGGTTTGAATAATTATTGAAGTTGATTCTGAGGCACTATTCTATAAACCTATTCCTAAAATTGACCCCCTTATAAAATCTTAAACCTCCTACAAACCTATTTTAACTATTACAGTGTTTTATCATTTAAATTAATCATCATTTAAATTAAGAATTTGGACTAAAAAAAAAAAAGAAACAAAACAGTTCAATAGCTAAAATTGGTTTTTTAGAGATTTGTCATTTTTATCAAGGGGGTTAAATTTTAATTTGATATCACAGGGAAATCTTTATTCTAAGAACTAATATGAACTAAATTGCTAAATTATTTGAATATAACAATTATTATAACTTGAAATTGATTAAAAAATATTCTTATTCACAATTCTACAAATAATTATAAGTAACATACGCTTTTACAAATTTTACACAAAAACTTATTTATACACATCAAGTAAACAAATTTGGCAAATAATTGTTATTTTTTTAACTAGTTACAAAATGTATAATAACATTGCTGATTCTTTTATGGGGCTACTACCTAAAATACTAGCTTGTCCTAGATTAGATGGTAGTTGGCACTAAATTGTGGCTTATACATTCTTTGTAAAAAAATGTTTTGTACAAATAATATAAAATATTATTATTTATTTATATATATGTATGCATCATCATCATATCAGCCTTTAACTGTCCACTGCTGAACTTTGGGGGGTTTTGCCAGTTGTTACTATGCTTGTCAGATAGATTGGCAACTGAGGTTAGGCTTTAGAGATGTTTTAAGAGGGATGTTGCTGCACATCCCTCACCCTCCCTTAGTTGCCTCTTACAACACTCATGGGCAAGGAAGAGGTGGCTTATTCTATGCCGGGACCACACAGATAATATATATTTATTACTACTATTCAAAGACTTATACAATAGATCCCATAAATTATGTGCATGTATATGTCTTTTCCAAATGTATTGTTTTAACTATGTTAATACTAAACAATTTGTTTTAGGTGGCGCCATTGTATGATTTTGATGCTGCATCTCCTGGCAATGGCTACAGGAGCTTTGTCTCAGTAGTAGACTCATGTGTGTTGCATGGTCTGAAAATCAGTCGGCAGGTTTGCAGTGCCAGAGATGCATTGCTCTTTCGTAAAAGTTATTTTGTCAGGTAAACATAGTATACAACATCTACTGAAATAAATTAAAAAGTATCTTATATATTCCTCTACTGTCATGTATCTTATATGACATGCTAGTGCCACGACATGTATCTATTGCATTTGGATTACATTTTTGTGATCATACATTCTGGAGGGCCATACATATTGTTTTTATATGAAACTATATTATTAGAAATAAAAAACAGTCCATTTGCCATTGTCATAGTACATTTATAATAAAGGTGATCACTCACATGATTGCGCGTACTTGCCTTCTATTTGTCAACTATACAGTAATCATGGCATATTTTCATCAACATTATATGCAATGATCTCAGTATCCAATGATACAGTATTTCGCAATAGGTAATAATGAGTGCATTTAGCATGCTGAAATCACTAGTGTGTACTTTTCCACAAATATACGTAGTATTTTAAATGAGGTGATCAGAAGTATTAATGAAGTATAATTATGGTAGAGCCTCAGAGATATTAATTCATTTGTACTGTGAGGGACCTGAGGGATTAAACAGCCTATCTTAAATGAATTTTAATAGGGTTTGGTTTACATATCACGCTGAGTTCGTTGCAGTCGCGCTAAGGACGTAATATTAATATTTAACACAATACCCATCTAAGCGTAAAATTATTTATTTATATATTTACTCTTTATCGCATCGTTTAAAGAATAATACAAAACTATATATGTATATACATATATAACACATATGAAGTTGAAAATGCAGTCTTATCCCTAAAGCATTCTCTTCCAAACAACCTTTGGATAGAGAACAAAATAAAAAAGCTGTAGCTATTTGGTGTAATAAGTTTATTTAATAAAAAAAACGCTTATGTTAAAAAACATACGCATATATATATATATATATATATATATATATATATATATATATATATATATATATATATATATATATATATATATATAATATGTGAAAATAGTAACTTGAGTTTCTTGCAAGTTCTTCTTAGCAGATAACAACATGCCGAACCCAGCAGTAAAATCATAAAAAAAGAGCTTGTAAACAAGTCTATTTGTATAAATATATTTCTATTCTATTTCTATTGGCAGATTATCATATAATCTTATTATAATATTTATGATCAGGATTTTTAAGTCCCCGGATGTGAAAGATACAAAGAAAAAGAACATAAATGATAATGTTTTGTCTAAAGGGAAATAGAGTCGTGTGGACAGCTGCTGGCTTCATTAGGAACGTGCTTACATCACCTGCACACACTGCTATCATGGGCGCCCCCTGGTGATCTCTTCCCGACAGAACAACACTCCCCAGAACAATTGTTTTCACAAGCGGACACAATAAATCAATATTGTTTCTATGGAAGATGCCTTGGGTTTCAGGTAACATTTTTAGGAATCATCACCATCATATCGGCCTTTAACTGTCCACTGCTGAACATAAGCCTCCCCCTTGAGCGGTTTTGCTAGTACCCACGTAGTTGCCACGCTTGGCAGGCGGATAGACAATTACAGTTAGGCTTTAGAGATGTTTTAAGACGGATACCTGCTGCCCGTCCCTCGCCCTCCCTTAGTCGAATCTTATTTAATAATTTTTGTCCGTTACGTAGTTAATACGATTTTTTTTATGAGAGTTAGAATGACAAACAAGCGGAAAATCCGCACTAATGGAAAGTGCTTACTGTCGTCTATAGATAAGAGAAGCAGCATTATTTTCGTAGAATACGCAGTGATATCTGTAGTACCATAATTTTTTTTATTTTTTTTTATTATATATTAGCTTATGGCAAGCTGATTCGTAAACATAGATATCAGAATAAAAAAAAAAAACAATGAATTGGTCCACTTGTACATGGCGTGTCATGATAAACCACGAATCAATTTTTAAATTAAACCTTCAGGAGCGCAACTGTGAAAACCGCATGCTATTTAATGCAACAGTTTTTGCGTGATACCAAAACAAACATACATAAGGCAGAAAAAATATCTAAAAAAAAAATAATGTTTTGATTTCAATTGTTCTTAATAATGACCCCTCGTATCAATTTTTCGATAGCGTGTGCTTAATTCATTATTGACCTCTAGATAATTGTTATATCTACTTGCATTCATGATTCATCAGTATACAAAAACATAATGCATGCATTAATGATAAATCTTTAGGTATATTATACAACAAAGTAAACGTTCTTATCATATTATTTGTCCGCCCATTAACTATTGTTTTAATCTGTGCATTCACTTTAACATCTTAATTATTTTAGTATTCCTTACTAATAAAATACTATAATGCGAGTGTGTTTGTTTGTTTGTTTATTATCTTATAGCGCCTTAACAGCTTAACCAATCACTGAAATCTATACATATAAATAAAATTGAAGTGTCTGTTTGTTATATTGAAATAACTGTTTTTTACTACATGTATATGAATATATATACGGCTAATCTCTGAAATGGCTGGACCTTTATTGGCAGGTAGTTGATATAATAAGGATTAACTTAGGCTACGTTTATTTTAGAAAAAGTAATGTTGCAATGTCCAAGTACTGTTCAGTACCGCGCGCAGTTAGTTTTTTCTGTTTTAATTATTTTTTAACCTCTGTGTGGATGCTGTCACATGTTGGTATGAAATAAAGTTAATTTCTTTCTTATCCCTTTTTAATTTAATAAAGTAAATAGAAGGTATCTGTATAAATGTTTTTGTATTTCAGTTTAACCCATCAATGCGCGGTATACTCAAAGGTATATCAATCTGTATGGCTGGTTTTTCGGAGGCTTACTATAGCCACGGAAACCTCATCAGCTCTGTATGGACTGGAGGACAGTACCTCATCGACCCGGAGATGAGGGCGCGCAGGATCGTCAATATATCGCAGTCAGCTAGCGTCGAGTTCTGCAAGGCATTCTGGTTTTTAGCTGAAAGTGGTATGTATTGTCAGACTCACGTTTAAAAATATTATTAATAATTAATCTATTTATAGATTTTTATATGTCCTCTCATTTAATTGTAAAAAAAATTAAATTTCTCCTCTGGCAACACTGAACTTTTTAATTCAAAGCAATTTATACTATTCGTATTTCACTATGATCCTATCCTCACTATCATCATATCTCATCATGATATTACTTTTTATTGGTATTATTCGAGTATTTGACAGTTGTCAATCACCCGTAATTATATCAATTTAAAAAAGGACTCTGAACTCTTTTATAAATAAGTTCACTTTTGCTTCTTATTGTAATTAATGCTGAGTACAATAAAGAATATTATATTCTTTCAGAAATAATGAAGCGTGTACCAAGCCTCATGTCGTCGACAGTGGCTGTCAACAAATTGATTACTATCCCACCGGAGCCCATCACTGTGCTTACCACTGATGGCAAGGAAACGACTGTGCTGCCCCCTACTGTGCACATTGGCCTCCAAGGTCTCAATGTGAGACTGATAAGTGTCAACAAAAGAATGGGGATGGTTTGTTGATTTTATTATTTATTTTATATGATTTGGAATTACAAACTGACAGTACACCTAATAAAATTTCTGAACTTTAATATTCATTTATTTATTCCCAACATGGCAGTAATAAATTGCTGGATAGTTATTTTTTTTATTTCTAATGCATATTGCTGGATTGTTTCTGTGACTTTGAATGTCATTGTCTAACTGTATAATCTGCAATATGATGTATATCTGTAATTTATTATTTTATAATTACACCTTTAAGTTTCTTGAATTAGTTTATTTTCTTGCACTGAAATAGTATTTAACAGACACGATCAATAAAAAATAAAAATCACTAGGAATGTACTCCACTTTGTTTTGTCCTTCCAATATTACATGTTCGACAGTAGCTTTATTTCTAGCGTGGACACTACCTACTATTGAATACAGTATACTATTAAATTCAATGTGACAGTATATGCATTATATGCACAACGGCCCAAATGAGAGGCTAAGTGCGGAAAATGGAGTCCTATTTACATTTACAGTATATGTATTTAAAAATTAAAATTTTTATATATCTGTATATCGAACCTCGTCTGCTCAGTGTGTAATAGTTGTCAGTGGAAACTTTATTGGTCACTAACTATTATGTAATTTTTTTTTTTGTTAATTATATATACTGTTTATTTCTCAAATAAAAAAAAAATATAAATACAGGCTGGCGAAGGATCATCGAATTTACCGCCAGCCGATGGGATAATCTTCCACTGTCATGGCGGCGGGTTTGTGGCCCAAAGCTCAAAATCCCACGAGACATACTTAAGAGAGTGGGCGGCCAAGCTGAACGTTCCCATACTCTCGATAGACTACAGTCTCGCACCGCAAGCACCGTTCCCCCGAGCTTTGGAAGAAGTATACTACGCTTATTGCTGGATGATGAATAATTTCAAAGAGCTGGGCACTACAGGTAATGTATTATTTTTACATTCTATTTCATTTCGAATTTATATATAATGTATACAGATATTTTTTTTAACATATAAGTTATGTTAAAAGTTTTACTAAAATTTTAACAAAACTTGTCGACCTGGACGTCGACCTGGTTGTACCCAACCAGGGTATTGCTAGAAATTTAACAATTGTGCCCTTTAACACCATTACTAACAATCCCTCCCCCCCCCCCATGTAATAAGTACTAGTTTAACTTACGTATAATTAGATCGATAAACATCGACTAGTTTCGGGACCAATTTGGGCCCCTTAATCATGATCTTCGAGTATGAACGGCTAGGCTCCGTAGTCTTTCTCTTCGTTTGCTGTGTTATTGTCATTGACTATGTTGGTAAGCCGTTGTGGTCATACAGTGATCATACTATCGCCTTTAAAGATTACCGAACTCCGTCTTTCTTATCTGTGACGGTGCCAAGAACGCCTACAGCTCGCGTTCAACGGGCCGAAGCGCGCAGTCAGGCTCGCGCTTTAGTCACTTCCGCTCATGATTAAGGGTTCCGAATTATTCCTGAAACTAGTCGAGCTTTCTTGATCTAATTACACATAAATCAAACCGGTAGTTATTATATTAAAATAAAATGTAAATTATGCACGAATTATTATTGTTGTAATTATAATTTATAAAAAAAACAACGTGTCTATAGGCAAAAGAATAGTGTTCGCCGGGGACTCGGCAGGCGCGAACCTTATAACGGGTTGCACGCTGAAAATACTCACATCCGGACTACGAACACCCGAGGGCCTGTTCCTGGCATACGCACCGTTACTGGTCAGCTTCATACCCAGCCCGGCCCGGCTTTTATGTCTCATGGATCCGTTGCTGCCCTTTGGATTCATGATGAGGTGTTTAAAAGGTACATTTTGATTTTTATGATATTAAATACTAGCTTTTACCCACGTCTTTGTTCGCGTGACTGGGTTTTTATCACTGATCAAGATAAAATACGTTTTATATAAAGAGCAAACCATTTATTTTATTAAAATAGACCCAGTCGACATCTTGACGTTGTAGAGTGTCAGATAATCTATTGCTATGTTACAGGCCATGTCTCTGACCTCCCTATACGACATGACACCTAGTGTTTCCTTTATCCTAAACTTACGTAACTAAAATTAGTTAAAATTGGTAGCCGTTCCATCGTCTTATTAAGATTTTTTTTTACAACTTAGAATGGTAAACAAGCTGGCGGCCCACCTGATGGAAAGTGGTAACCGTCGCCTTTAGACCTGAGCAGTATAACAGAGTATACTGTTTCGCCCATGATACCCCTCATGCGTTGCCATTCCTGAGGACTCAGATGTTATTCCTCTGTACCCTGTAAATTCACGCCATATCCCACCCTTCAAACCGAAACACAGCCATACAAACACAACTACTTCACGGTAGAAACACGAATGGGACAGAGATACCCAAGCAATCGACTTTTGTACAAAGTCTCCCTCTGGTAGATTAAGATATTATTCCTTAATGTAAATTTACATTTATTAATAAACATATTCTTATATTTTTTATAGCATACGCCAGTCCTAATACTAGCGGGAAGAGTAAAGAGGATAAACATAAAGATACAAACGCTGTGTCTAACGCAACAACGCCCCTAGACAGCAATGGATTCCTTAAAGTTAGCCCGTCACAAGGTAAAAATTTATCACTACTTTTTTTTTATACTTTTGCCGTGTAGTTCCAACATGGACTGGGCCACTACTTCCTATCCCGTGGGTGTTTTAAGAGGCGACAAAAGGGAATTTAATGATCGAGATATGAACACCAGCTTTTTAAAACATCACCAAAGGCTAATTGCGGTTGCCAACCCAACCGTATAGAGCAGCAACTACTGGCATAACCCCCCAATGGGAGGAGGCCAGCAGTGAACAGTTAACAGCTGATAATATGATTGCCCGTGTGGTCCCGGAATAGAATAGGCCACCCCTTCCGATCCCGTAGGTGTCGTAAGAGGCGACTAAGGAAGAGCAAGGGACAGGCAACAGCGTCCCTCTAAAGCCTAACTGCTGTTACCAATCCGCCTACAAAGCAACGTGGCAATTATTAATAAAATCTCCCAAGGGCCTCCCCTTTGTTTATATACTTATTTTATGATATGATATATTATGATGATGATGATGATGATGATTTTTAAACCTCTGTTCATTTAGGAAGTCCGCACGATCTAAAATTGTAAAATAGCATGATCAGTAAAAGACGTTAAATGTTAATTTTTACCCTCAACATTAGGGGGGGGGGGGGGGGGGAAGTTATTGTTAGCAATGGAGTTTGACAGCCCTATTGCTAGCAATATGCCCTATTAGGTCGACCTCCAAGTGGTTCCCCCTGGAAACGATCGTGAACAATTCTTGTTGAATTCGTCACGATGGGCCAACTGACCTGCTTCATCCTCACCTATCATCCTTCACTGGTGCTCCGCCAGCGTATCCCGACGCGTATCAGCGTATCCTCGCCAGCGCAGGCGGGGTTACCATTTCATTTTAACCCATTAAAAAAACCCCTCAACATTAAAATACTCTTACAACTATTGACAAAAGCCCCCAATAGAGGGAGGCCTATTCAGTAGTAGACACTTAGTACAATTAGTATGATGAAACGAAATATTAAATTAATATTGTTATATGACTAGAGGGCGTAAGCGAAGGTCCGTCGTCGTTCGAGGAGGTCTCCCCGTCGGATCTAGCCGAGCTGCAGGCTCACAAGTCGGGCAGCGAGCGTAGGAAGTCCTCGGACACCACAATAAGCGCTGCCTCCTTGCAAAGTGAACATACAGCCACTGGTAAATGTGCACTATAATTCTAACAATTTATTTATTTAATCTTTAAGCCACCTGTTAACTCTAATACATACTTGCCTAGACAATGGCGGCCCAACATAAACGTAGCGGGAAAGCCGTGCATATTAATACAGCGCAATGATTACTAAATCACCCTGTAAATTTTTACATTCATCGCGCGGTTGAGACGCCCTCTATGTGACATGATACTTTACTACTATGAGACAGTCTTGTTGTTGCTCTATAAATTTTATTATAATATATCTATTTAAGTAAAACTAAAAACGATAAATATATTAAATTTTTAAATTATTATAATATATATATATATATATATATATATATATATATATATATATATATATATATATATATATATATAATATATTTAAAATTTATAAATTAACTGCACCAACCGGAGTATTTATTAATGTTGTATCAAACATCACTTATCCAAACATTATTAGAGAAAGATTACTGTAGCGATATTATTGCCTTTTGTACTTTGTTATTATAATGTTTTTTTTTTTTCTATTAATTTTTAACTGCTGTAATAAAAATAAATCAAAACTTTTTATTTTATAATACATTTTTAGATAATATTTTAGAAAGAGGAAAGATTAGAACTTTTTATAATGTATAAACTAAAAATGACTCAACCGATTTAAAAAATTCTTTCACCTATAGAAAACTATATTAACATAGAATATCTATTATTTAAAAAAAAATATTCCTACATAAATTATAATAATGTAACCCAAGGTATTAAAACTTTGGTAAACTGAGTTACCGTAGCATAAGGTATAATATCCAATACTAATTAATTTTTCTATCTATTCCTGCGAAACCGGGTTGGATCACTAGTGATACTATAAAATTATAATAAGAAATTTCCCTTATTCCATTTCCCAGGTGTAACTCCGCCTGAAGACAAATCTCAGCAGTACGTATCAGATTTCTTGGAGAGATACGTGCTGGACAGCGATACCGATAGCGAAGGACGCCGAATACCAGTCATCAAGCCGAACAATAAAGCTCTTGACGAATCGCACAGGTATTCAAAATTAAAATCTTACTAATATTATGAATGTGATTTTATTATTTTTTAATAATAAAAACTGTTGTTTAAACAGGATATAATGTGTAATTATTAACATTGTTTTTTATACAACTTAGAATGGCAAACAAGCTGACGGCCCACCTGATGAAAAGTGGTAACCGTCGCCTATAGACATGAGTAGTACCATGGACATAGCAGAGTATACTGTTTCACCCATTATACCCCCCATGCGTTGCCGTTCCTGAGGACTCGGGAACATTTGTTAATAACAACCTGGGAGACCCAAATAAGTGCATTAAAAAAAAAAATTAAATTGTTTCTAGGGAGGCAGAATCTGAAGCTTCGAGTACATTAGTTGGTGAACCGCCGTTGGTTGACGATCCGGATCAAAAAGACAAAAGGAGAATAAAAACTCGGTAACATTATAAATTATATTACATACTAACACACGTCATCAACGTCACGTCAAACACGTCACAAGTCATCACGGTTTTGCACGGGTGCAAATAAGAATTTAAACCATACAAACCTTTGTTAAAGACTATCTAAATTACAATAAAATACGTATCAAAATCTGTTGAGTGATATAGATAGCCAGTTCCAATTGTCCCTCAAAATCTGAAACTACTTACCCCTAAAATTGGAATTTTATTCCAACCACTTATGGAATGAATAAAATTTCATTATCCATTTGTCTCTACCAAGTAGATTTTAATACTAAATACAATTCTATACATAAATAGATAATTTTTCATCATTAATGAAATCTTATTTAGATTTTATTTTCGTGCTATTTAATTACTTATATCTTATATAAGTCAGAGTCAGCATTGTGGTCTTTAATTCGTCACAGCATTTCTCTTAAATCCACTGTATTTTATTTCTCAATATTATTTCTTTGTTTTAACTTAAATTAAACGAAAGGAGCGTCCTTTCTTAAAATTCTTTAACACTAGAATGGACGATAATTTCAACTGTTGACTTTTATTAACGTGCTAGCCGTATCCCGCGGTTTTAACCGCATGAATCAGTACTGTATGCTAAGTTAAACATAACCTACCCGTGTACCAAATTTCATTCAAGTCACTGGTTATTTGATTAGAATTGTTTAATTCCACTACCATTAGTATGTAAGTGACTGCCAGCACTCGAAGATAATAAACTAATAATAGCGGAATTAAACAAAATAATTCTAATTATATAAATAACCTGTGATATTGACTACCACAAGATAACACCTAGTTCAGTAAAATATTCATTTAAATTAGTTAAGTAGTTTTTGCGTAAAAGAATAATAAAAATCCATCCATCCTTATAAACTTTCGTATTTATAATATGAATAGTATAATTAAAATATATAGCCTACGTAATTGAACAAAAATAAAAGTCAATTTTTTTTTATACAACTTAGAATAGCAAACAAGCTGACGGCCCACCTGATGGAAAGTGGTAACCGTCGCCTATAGACATAAGCAGTACCAAGAACATAACACAGTATACTGTTTCGCCCATGATACCCCCCATGCGTTGCCATTCCTGAGGACTCAAGTTTTATTCTTCTGTACCCAGTAAATTCACGCCTTATCGCACCCTTCAAACCGAAACACAGTTTTGCAAACACAACTGCTTCACGGTTGAAACACGAATGGGACAGAGGTACCCAAGCACTCGACTTTTGTACAAAGTCTCCTTCTGGTAAACTGTCTCCCTCTAGTAACTGGTAATATAAATTTTCAGTATAAGCGAAGCAGCGAACAGCGTAATGGGCGCGATGTCTTCTAAACTGGCGTACATCACGGGGTCCAACACTATCACGAGACCAACACAAGACGAGTAAGTATATACACACATACAAAAGAATGATGATGATTCGTTCTTTTCGTACTTCATCACCAAGTGGATTGAATGAATGAATGAATGATAACTTTATTTGCTCGAATACAGATTAACTGAATAGAGATTTATCGAGCAAGAATGAATGGAGATGTCGGTAGGGGCCGCCCTAGACGGACGTATGTCGACCAAATAGGCGACGTGCTGAAGAAGGGCCAAATTAAAAGTACCCGTAACTGGCGAGCGTGTATGAAAAGATTGATGAATGTGGAAGAAGCGAAAGAGGTTTGTTTGAATCGAAGCATTTGGCGTTCCATTGTTTCTGCCTACCCTAATGGGAGACAGGCGTGACAGATATGTATGTATGTATGTATACAGATTAATACATTACAAATATTTAATGTTAAAGAAAATACTCTCTGCATTCAACCGTGTGGCGTGTAAATATTTCATTTGGAATTTGCTCTTAAAATTTTACATTAAAATAACAAGATCATGAGATATATCTTCATCAGTAATCTATATCTATACTTATAATAAATCTGTAGAGAGGTCAATTCTGTACATTAAATATATTTCCAAAATAACTATCAGGGGGTGATTAGTGATCGATACTGATGCCGAAAATGCAATCAGTAAAATTTTTGTCTGTCTGTCTGTATGTTCGTTATAGAAACAAAAACTACTTGACGGATTTTAACAAAACTTACTACAATTATTCTTCGTACTCCTGGGCAGGTTATAGTATATTTTTCATCGCGCTACGATCAATAAGAGCAGAGCAGTGAAGGGAAATGTTGGGAAAACGGGAGAAGTTACTCCATTTTTAAGCTTCCGTCGCGTGTGCAGCCTTAATGGCCACTTTTTAAAATGTAAAAGTATCCACCTGTGCGACGCCGGGACGGGCCGCTAGTCTTTAATATAGTTTTCCGTTTTTCCAGTTTGGCGGTGCGGACCAATTTGGACGCGTTGATAGCTCGCAGTCCATCGGACGAATTTATATTCTCGGTACCGCGTGATCCGCTGTTATCCCCATATTGGGCCGACGAGCAATTACTCAACAAGTTCCCGCCGGTTAGGATATTGGTATGTTTTTTTTTTTTTTTATCTTTTTTTGTTTAAAGCCTTTTATCCTATAAGGATATGTCAGCCTCATCATACCCTAATCTTAGATATTGATATGTTATACATAGTATTATTGCAGCTTAATTATTTTTGTACTAAACGTCCAATAAAACATCCCTGTTCTATCACAGATCAAATAATAATTTAATTTCTAGTTCTGAACGGTCGTAATTTCTGACCTAACCTATGATATTGATCTCGTATTGCCAATGAATGAGACTGCATTAATATGTTAATGTCACACTTTCAATGCGCGATCATTGTTAAAGTCTGCAATACATACTCGCATGTATAAAACGACGATAGAATTTAAAATTTCTTGAGACAAGAAAACACGTTTATTTTATATTAAATAGCATTTAAAAAAAACCATTGTGAGTGGTTACCATAAACACTGCTTATTTGACAGTGATATAGATTTCCACAAAAGAACACCTAATTCAATTACAATATATAAAAAAAACACTTACAAATTTTAAAATACTTTCCGAAAATCGTCAAGTCCAATAACGCCAACTCTGAATATATCATAAAAAATATTTTTAGTATAGTATAGTTGCATAAAGTTTCTTCTAAAAAAAAGGTAAAGATATTAGCATACTATGATCACGTGAGTTTGGTTTTGCTTTTATTTTTTATCGTCTCCAAATATTGTAACATATTATTGTTGATCTTACACTCAGACGGTGCACCTCGACCCCTGTTTGGACGACTGTGTAATGTTTGCCAAAAAACTGAAGAAACTCGGCAATATTGTTGGTATAGATGTGCTAGAAGGTCTACCACATGGATTCCTTAATTTTTCACTTGTAAGTTACATTATACTATACATTTTATCCCACTTCTGTTTTTTATTTGACGAAATTATATTTGATATTCATACATGGTTTCCTTTGTCTTGTTTACATACATTGAAACCACTTCAGAACTCTATATTTTTTTTTTTATATTGCTTATTATTTCACGGATATATGTAATATATGAAATTATAAAAAATATTAAATGTATCTCACAAGTAAATATCATGGAAGGGTCTCTTATCAAACCTTCCAAAAAAAATGGATACAAATAAAAAAAAATGTTAATATATATGTGAATATGTTCTTATTTCCAGATGGCCAAGGAAGCGAACGAGGGATCGAAACTATGCATGGAACGTATCAAACAGCTACTAGACCTTGACAGCGCGCCCACGTCTGATAACAATCGTTTATGAATGTGCGGACTGTGTTGTCACACGTAGGTTTGTACTTCGGCGTGTTATGCCTGCCTAGCCTGACATACGACCCTAGTGTCACTCACTAAAGGGCTTATTACATAATAGACAGGTTTGGGTCACGTGACTAAAATTGATCTGTTTTATCTATGGTTTTAGTACTAATTTGCTGGGCAGTCTTTTTAATCTATATAACTCAAGTTTTAAGCGTTTATAATAAGCCCCCAGATGCGCTATACCAATTTTTTTACATTCTATATTTGAATTTATTTAAATTATTAAGAAATATAAACATTTTTATTGGGTCCATAGAAATATAAGTTTGTCAGCGTCATAACCTACATATCCAAGAATACATCACTATTTGTTTTATTCAATTAGCCCAAATTATTTATTTAGATAATAAATAATGTGAATGTTTTTCTATTTTTAATGTTTTACATTTCTCGTGTCAGTCGATCCTTAGAGGCGCAATTATTCTTCACTTATAATATAATACTGTATTGTTTGCATTTTAAATATTACTATATATTTCTACTACACCTATAGGTACATATATACATCACATTGTTTTCATTTCGTTAAAAAATAATATAGATTAAAGCAAGGAATTTTCTCCTACTTTAATATATAAATTATAATAAATATTTACTTTATGTGTAGTGTAACACAAAAAAGACAATATTGATCTTACTCCCAAAACCAAAATTCTATATTTTTTTATTACCTTAGTATATACAATTTATATACCTATATATTTTAAAACTGATTATCAATTTCAATTTGAATTATGTATACCCAATATCTTTTTTTATACCTTTTAATTACCTTGTAATTATTATAAAATGTGAAGAGAAATATGGATCACTATTCTTTATGCCTCTCTTGAAACTAAAAAGAAGGCAACAAAAATAAAATTGCCAGAGGTATTTTTAGAAATTAATCGAATTTTCTTTGTAATAATAATTTTAAACAAATGTGTGTATAAATGACAATTTTAAATAATTTATTAGGATAGCAGTTGAGAGGTTCCAAAACATCAAAAATAGGACAATATTTTAACCAGAGTTATGAAGAACTAATGTAAATAACATATACCAAAATATGTACATAAAAAAAGAGTATAAAAATAAACTAAAATTACAAAACGACAGGATAATTACTTGAAATATTGGAATTATAAATAACAAATTTAAATATTTATTATTTGAAAATATTGAATAATAAAAGACGTGATAATGTAACAACGTACCTGTCAAGATTCACGTTTTAACTCCCACCATTTAACTTAATTCAAAATGTTATTTGTACGATATTATTATGTAGCCAACTATTTATGGGGCGTCTTAGATTACTGAAAGTTTATATAATTCTGTAAAAATTAATATTGAAACTTTAAAGAAAAAAAAAAACTAATGTAAAAAGCTGTATGAACTGAATACGGCAGTGAAATATATACCATCACCAAATCGACGTTAAATTACCAATAGCTCCCAACGGACACTTATAAAATATGAGTTCTTGTAGAATTTTATTCTAACATATCTCCTTTTCTGTGTTACATAGAGAAATCATTTTTACTTCATTATGTTGAGGTAAAGTGTCAAAACAAACGTCACTTTTTGGATTCGTAGTATTTGGAATAAAATATAAGGTGTATGTCCCCTTTTTTTTTTATTTTGCCCATGTTAGGAGATATCGGCAGTTAAACATCGCATTGTAATTGCAAACTGCATTCACAAAATTATCACTGTAATACCGTTATAAATATAGTAAAAAGTAGGTATGCTCGACTTTTATAATGCAACATATTGGGGTATTAAAAAATATAAATTCCAATTACATTTAATAACTAATGTAATATACAATTTATAAAGAACAATTAATATAAAATAATATTGAATAAATTAATATTTTAAATGTTTTTAAACCCAAAATCGACTATATCGATTTAGTATACTAAATCGATAACGTAATGGAGCGGTTTATGGTTATGAAATCAGATATAAAAAATATTATCCCATTTCGACCCATGTCGAATTGTTATACGCCTTTTTTACACCCATTGATTTACAAAAGATTCATGATATGCAGATTAGCAGCGATAAAAAAAGAACGCATTCAAACAAATTACACGTCCATTTCTAACCAGCCAGTGTCATTTCTCAAATGTTCTTACAATTTTTGTAAAGTAAAAATATAACGTCTATACACGAAATTTCATATTCATGGCAAGTATACTCTCAACTACAATAACGGCATATCTTAAAATAACTACTTTTTTTTATTTTAATTCAATACAGTTTTCATTGTAACTTTCCTATGGGAATCTGAATTTATTGTTTATCAATGGTTACACACTGTATATAAGCGTAATTCATCACTTATTAAAACATAAATTTACGAAACAATCTCGGTATAACATGAAAAAAAATGGTTTTTGTAAGGTTTTGATAATAGATGCCAAATTTCAATAAAAATTTTTATTCGGTTGTTTGTTCGGGCCATGGTTTATTGTGATTTATTTGGATTGTTATATTTTAATGTGTTTTATTAATTTATTTTTAAATGTGATACGTAAAATTTATATTTCGTTATTGTTCTTTAACTATTCATTATTTAGAAATGAATGCTCAATTCCACTATGTATAATTTTGTTAAAATTATTGTCTTATTCTTTACAACAATTCGACTTTTAATTTAATGCAATAACCATGAGACTTATCTGAATAATTAATATTTATTGTTTAATCACAATAAATTTAATGAACTGTTTTAAAAAAAAGTGTTCTGGGCATTCATTAACAATTATTATTACTGAATAACTGCACATTTTTCGACTCATTCGAAAGATTAGATCATTTTTATGTGACTTATATTTATGTTCAACAATGGCAACACTATTGCATGAAATTAAAAGTCATTTTTGAGATATATCCTAATTCTCATCACCTAATTTTTTTTTTTTTATTTGTTGATCTGTTCTAGACTAATATTTCATTTCCATTATATTACCTAGTATGTTAGATATTAGGTAGATATCCTACTAGAGGAATGTTAAATTGTTAATAGATAGACCGCCTTTAGATCTATAAGTTTTACTCATTGGGTAAGTGTCATAAGTGAAGTAACTGATCGCTGGATTAATGATAAAATAGAAGTGTTTACATGTGCAAAATTATGCTAAAACTGCTTTAAAACTTATAGATGTAAAGGCAGCCTTATAATACTAGAATAAGCTTTATTTAATTACTAAATTGTTTTAGTCCATTTTCTTTGCTAATTATTAAAAAAAAAAACATTAGGCTCGTGCAAGGGAACATTGTCAAATTAAATTATGGTTGCTTCTAATATAATGAATATTAAATAAATTAATGAAATATACCAATTAATAACAATATAATCTCTACTAATTGTATTATGTAACAACATTATATTAGCAGAGGTATGTGCTAATATCATTATAAGCATACAATTTCAAAATTATTATCTAGCATTTTACGTCAAGAGGTCCTTAATATTTCTATGCAAAAAGTATGTATATAAGGAGATTATGTTTGTATATATCTTATGTAGTTATTTTATAACCAATTTTTACTGTAAAATAGTTAACAATGTCAATATTATTTCCTTTTTTATTTAATATATTTTAGTTTCTTGGGGTCCCCATTCCAATCCATTGTTTGTCTGTCATATTCAATCTATGAAATTATTAACGTATCTTATTCGGACAAAGATGAACCTGCCTAATAAAGAAAGATTAATAAAAAGGATATTCATATAGTACAATTTCCATGGATGGGGGCGCCACGGTGCTTGTGTTTAACCACTCCAAGAGCTAGACATGCCGCTGTAGACCTTGTAAAATGTTTGTTCCCTTGCTAGATTAAGTCCGTCGTTTAGGACGGTAAATATTTAGTACCTAACTTATGAATGCATTTCGAGAATTATGCTGTTTTAAAAAGTAACTCAGTGTTAAACAATGTCTGTGATAGTGAATTGAAGCTTTGAAAGCATAACAGTATTCTAAAATGCACGAATATAAATATCTATATGTATAATAATTATTGTTGTAACTTGTTATATATGAAATTATCTGTTTGTGTAGTTTAAGAATTTGTAAAAATGTATTTTTATAGATAATAACGAATCTCCATATAGATCTGACGTGTAAAATAAAATTATTCCGTAAATGATAAAATTAATAGAGGTACATAAATATATGCATTATTTATCGGGCCTTAATGTGGAAATGAATTTAAAATACTAAATGTTACATATTACTAAAACAATGATAAATCGCGATCGACATTATCTATATAACGATTTATGACCAAAGACGTGTCCATAGTGGAAAAATATAGGTAATGTGACAATATTGTATATTGTTTTATGCTGTAATAAAGTAATGCCGAAATATAATATATTTTTATTTCAAACACCATTAAAAAAGCATTTATAAGTGTTTAAATGGAAATTAATAACTAATTACATACTAACGATTGTTTCTGAACGTTTTTTTTTTTTATAATTAAAGATTATATCCCACAAAAAAATATTTCAATTGTAACAAGTTTTTTTGATCTAAATATAACTGAAACAATTTCGATAAAATTTCTTTGCGACTAATCTGTAAATATACCTTCAAGATAAAAAGGAATTTTCCAAATCGGTTCAGAGCTGACAGTTTTTAGATAACAAACAAAAAAATACGACCCAATTGTAAATCTAATTTCGAAAGTCAATTGGCAATGGTAATACAAGTGTAAAAACTAAAGCATGTGTAAACGGTCAAACAGCTTGCTGAAACACGCAAATTTTGCCGATTGTAATTTGGAGACTAGAAAAAAGGTTCTTAAGTGACAACCCCTTGCAGACAAGTGTGGACCACTTTTGCGAGATAGAGCGCTCTTAAGTATCGCAAGAAGTAGGTAAATGGGTAATGTATGTACTACGTGGCGAAATATCAGGGAGACCCGATGATGAGTCAGAAATAAAGTAGCGCGTTCTCTTTAATACAAGCAATAGTAAAAATTATGCAGTATTAATGTGATAATTTTAATATTTATATCTACCTATTATATTTATGACTATAAAACGAGTATAATGTACTTACACACATTGTTTGAATTTAGAGGCCATGAATAAGGTTCTAGAAATCTTTAAAACCTTCAATAGATTTAATTTCCTTGACCAAAGATTCATTATCGTTATTTACAATGAAGGTTATATACAAGGTTTTTTAACCATTGAAAAATAAAACTTCATATAATGTTAATGATGTTTATTTAATCTAATGCTAAAATTGCAGTGAACATGATGCATATAACAAAATATGGATTCAGAAAAAAAACTGTGCGCCAAAAAACTTTGGTAGCAGGTATTGACCTATGATGACATATAAATTCACATATTGCTTGAAATTAAGAAGTAATTCAAATAAAACAATTTTCAAGTATATAAATCAACAAAATGATAAATTATTATCAAATACCAATGTACTGATGCAGTGCAAAGAATTACAAAATTAACACAACTTGAAACATTAAGCCTATTAAAGTAATTGAAAAAAAAAAACTCTTTATACAAATATTACAAATTAATTGCGAGGTGATTACTGCACAACAGTTATTTTGAATCCAAAGTTCATTAAATTAGCGAAATCGAAAACTTTACACCTACTCGATTAAAGTTATAGTAAAAAACAATGACACAAAATTTTGTATGCCATCCAATATAGTTAAAAGAATACCTAGAGCTAACCACTGCTTCTCATTTTTACACATACTCAAATATTAAGAGAATTTACAGTTTCACGTCCATTAATGTCACACCTGTACAATCTGTCCTAGTTTAATAAAACACACTAGAAACATTAACCATTTTCATCAACATGCCATCATATCTATGGAAGTACTGTACAACATGAGGTACTGTCCAGAATTATCAGTCGTATCCAGTTTAGCATTATGGCCTCAACCTACAATTTAACTGTTTACGAATGGCTTGAACCATATTCAGACATGTTTGAAACCATCTATATTCAATATAGTATTAAAATACTTGTCCCTTAATATGGAACAAATATTTGAATTATCTTAATTAAAATCAATTCTGGTTGTCGGTACCGAGTTCCTAGTCTTAAAATACGTGGTATCACTTGTTAGTTGCACTATTACAACCAAGCCGAGGGTTTGTTGAGTACAGTGGAGTTTATTGGTTCACTCAATCGTGTCCATTTGTTTTTGCATGTGGCACTATTCCATTAACTAAAGGTGTTGCTTCTGGCTGTCTGATTGTCTTTTGTAGAACATGTGCATCAGCCGGTTCTATCCTCTTGTAGTAGTGTTCTTTTGTTTCAACAATCTCAAAACCAAATTTCTTATAAAAATCTATTGCACCCTCATTATTCACTTGCACATGTCTGAAACAAATTGGTATGAAAAATTAGGATTTGTAAAGATTTGTGATTGCAGATAAACAATACATTTAGATATATTATACATACATATCTATCATACATGTCTCCTATAATATCAATATATATTTGCTATATCAAATACTTACAAATAGCAGTATTTCTATTTAACTGCAATTATAAATGTGTCGTACAATACCTTCTCATGGTGGGAAATGGGATTGTCAGTAATGAGATGAAAGAGAAAATTGTTAACAAAATACCCTGGTCAGGATGACTTTCAACTATTGTGATTCATCTATACTTATAATAAATCTGTAGAGAGGTCAATTCTGTACATGAAATATATTTCCAAAATAACTATCAGGAGGTGATTAGTGATCAATACTGATGCTAAAAATGCAATCAGTAAAATTTATGTCTTTTTTTTTTTTATACAACTTAGAATGGCAAACAAGCTGACGGCCCACCTGATGGAAAGTGGTAACCGTCGTCTATAGACATGAGCAGTACCATGGACATAACAGAGTATAGTGTTTCGCCCATGATACCCCCCGTGCGTTGCCATTCTTGAGGACTCAGGTGTTATTCCTCTGTACCCAGTAAATTCACGCCATATCCCACCCTTCAAACCGAAACACAGCCATGCAAACACAACTGCTTCACGGTTGAAACACGAATGGGACAGAGGTACCCAAGCAATCGACTTTTGTACAAAGTCTCCCTCTGTCTGTCTGTCTATCTGTATGTTCGTTATAGAAACAAAAACTACTTGACGGATTTTAACTAAACTTGATATAATTATTCTTCATACTCCTGGGCAGGTTATAGTATACTTTTCATCATGCTACAATCAATAGGAGCAGAGCAGAGAAGGAAAATGTTAAAAATGTCCACCCGTGTGACGCCGGGACGGGCCGCTAGTTCTTGATAAATTGACACAATGGGATAGCTAACCTACTTTCATCTTCACCTACCATCCCTTATTGATATCTCACCAACACAACCAATAGCATAAGCAAGGTTATCATTCCTATATCATTAATTAAAAGAACACCTAATTCCTGCTATTTCCATAAGGAATCTAAAAGTCTTAACAAGAATTCATAAAAAGTGTAACCAATTAGTGTTGCTGCAAACATTAATTGAATAATGTTAGCAAATGTAGGTCATATTACTTATTAGCTGTAATCAGCTGTATGTAGCTTTGTTTGCTGGAGGTAAGATAAAATTATACTCTGTGTTAATCTAGTATATTATCTATGTACTACTATAATATTCTTGATTAATACACAACTAATATAATAAACTCATTCAAATTACTTCAGACTGAATCATAAACACACAAACTTTTATGTTTATAATTTTAATAGGATGTGCATAAATTATGTATTAAAGAATCAATAAATTACACAAGGGAACAATATTTTTGTTACATGAAATATTATGAATTCTATTATACATTTTCTAAGTGTAGATTTTAGATCTCTAGTTAGATTTTTTGTCCCAGCTTCAGTTTTTGAGATATAATAAAAAAGTAATTTCAAAATAAAAAATTATTTAAAAACCCACAATTTTTAGATCTACACATATCAACCACATGTGTTCGATGTTGTTGTCCAAAGGAAACACAAAAGTATCAAAACACACCTGTTTTATAAACTTTGACAGGCTTAGTTTACAATTTTTTAATGTATATTCACCACAGAAGAAAGAGTTGAGATCATTTTTACCAATATTTCTCTATGTAGAAATTGTAATAAATTTGTTTAAAAAAAATTGCTCAGTATTATGAAAATTAACTGTAACTAGAACAAAAATATGGCCAGTGGCTGTATCTCAAAAACTAGAGCTGTTAAAGAAAAATAGAGGATAAATTTGAAATAAGCAATCTTAAATTAGTAAACAATAGTCATTAATATCCATGCAACAAATAGTGTAATTTGGTTCCCTTGTGTTATCTAATTACTATTCTAATGATTAGTAAATAATGGAAATTAGATTCCTTCAAAGAAAACCACATATAATTTTCCACTCTTACTCAATCCTGTTCAAGATCATAAATAATAATAAAAGCATATATTCTAGCATTGAAATGAGAATAAATCCTTACTAATATTATATGAGTTTGTTTGTTTATTAGCTTTAAACACCTTAACCACTCAGTATATATTTATATTGGAAAGGACATAGGTTACTTTTTATCTCAATGAAATTGGGTTATCAAAATTAATACTGACTGAAGGCATTCACAATGAATTATCAATTCATTCTGAGTAACTAGTTAGTGTGAAACTAACTGAACGAACTAACAATTCTTTAAGAAAAATGTGTAATTTCACTAGTAGAATACTTCTTAAAGAATTTTTTATTTCACCTTATATAAAATAAACCATTGAATAAAGAAATGTATACAATAAGTACTTATAACATAAAATTTGTATAGTCTTTCTCAATAAAGGTTGTGTTAAAAAATGTATTCATCATTGGTACTGAGTGGGCCATTAATAAGAGTGTCTACAAACTTTTCTCCACTATATATGCTACCTACTTGATACACAAAATTATCACTACCTTTATAATGTCTATAACAATCAACTTCATATTCTAACCTTGAAATCACTACCACTTTTCTAGAAATTGGTATATTTAATCATGAAAGTGTAACATGATTAAAGTAGATATTAAATATTATTAATAATAAATACAAGACACTATCTAATATACGAAAAAAGTATACTCACAAGAAAATGCTGTCAAAATTTCCATCCTGTTCAACATACTTGAGCACATGTTCCACCATCAAAGTACCTATTCCCAGTCTTCTGTAGGGATACAGACATCCTAGAGTCATTATATACAGTCTCCGTGAGTTCTCCGACGTGTCTATTCTACAGCACACCGCTCCGACCACGATATCATTGTAATACGCTAACTTCGCCAGTTCACCCGCTTCCAACACGTCTTTATAGAATTTGTCATTGTATGACACGGGAAATACAACTGTATTTAACTTCTTTAATTGCTTTATATTATGCGGTGTCACGTCTCCGAGTTCTATTTTAGCTCTGAAATTTTAAGATGGATATTTTAATAATAAGATGAAATGCACTATTTTCGACAGTCAAAGAGATTTCGCTTACAATCTTGTGCAGTGCGAATAAAGATTGTAAGATTAATTAAACAATTATTATTAAGCAAACATGGCTTACCTAGTCATTTTAATAACTATTCTATAATAAACACTACAATTTAAAAACTAATCTAACCATCTAACACAGTTATATCACACGAGATCAATCCCGCCATCTGCCACTAGTGGTCGCTCGTTTCGCCATCGCCATTTCAATTCTATTTGACAAGTCAATCACTAGCTGTCACCGACTAGAAATAATAATGTTACCAATTTAAAAATTACTAACCTTCTTCCTTTGTATCTCTGTAACGGTCGATTAGCTTGAATATAACTCATTAATCTGTGATCTACTACTACTAAGTATCTAACTTTGTAAAACGTACTACTAGTTAAATTTTATAGAACTGAAAGTGAAGAAGAACACCGAACACGCCTAGATGAAGCTAGGCGTCTTCCATATATACAGTTAAGGGCGGGCCGAGTGGCCATATCCATATCAGAATTTTTTAGATCCACTTCAAAATAAGAGCGAAAATTTCAATTATTCGCAAATTAGCTGGGGGTATATATGTCCCCTTTTAACAATCACAGATATATCTGTGATAAAAGTCAAATAAATATGCTTGAAATATTTCATTTATTTAAATACAATAAATACAATTTATTTAAATAGAATCCGTCCCTGAGTGCAACTCAGGCAGTCCCATCGTATCTGGGGGGGACAAATTTCTCATCGACGGCGATGCGTTATGCCACGGGTCACGTCATGTCTCCCCTGTTTCCCCAAATGGCAAAAAGAGGGCAAAGGAATGCCAAATTGCAACGATGAATGTTTGTGGAGGTATGGATAGTAAAATAGACGAAGTATGTGAGATGATGAGTGAAAGAAGAATTGATGTATTAGGAGTAAGCGAAACAAAAAAGAAAGGCTGCTCTATTACTACTTATGACCGATATACTGGGTACTGGTCTGGAGTTAATGACTCTGAAAGAAGCAGCCAAGGAGTGGGAGTTATTTTGTCAGAGAGAATGAATGCATCTGTTAAAGAATTTGAATTTGTAAGTCCTAGACTCCTCTGGATACGACTGAAAGTTGGTTTGACCCGTATTTTTCTCCTTTGCGCTTATGCCCCGGATATGTCCAAGCCACCAAAGGTCAGAGAGGATTTCTGGGATAGTGTAAGAGAGATTATGACTAAATGTAAGGAGAATGAAAGAATTATTTTGATAGGTGATTTTAATGGCTGGGTGGGAATCCGTCGCGATGGATATGAAAGGAATTTAGGAATGTTTGGAGATAAAAGAGTGAATGAAAATGGTGAAAGTTTATTAGAAGTATGCCTGGAGAGAAATCTGGTGGTGACTAATACTTTGTTTAGTCACAAACTGATTCATATGTATACATGGCAAAGGCAAACTGAGAGAAGTATGATTGATTTTGTAATTGTGGATGAACGATTGAGAGCGAAAGTGAAGGATACAAGAGTCTATCGTGGTACGAATGTCGGAACCGATCACTTTTTGGTGATATCGAGAATCACCTATTCTCGATTCTTATTCAATAAATGGCGACATCGTCCACGTGTTCGTATGTCAGAAATAGAAAGAGTAAGAGTAGAGAGACTGACAGAAGAACAGGTTCGAAATCAGTATCAAGAAAGATTGAATGAAAGATTTAGAGAGCTACTGAAGAAAGATAACTATGAGATAGAAGAATTTTGGAAGGAATTTAAATGCGGAATCTTTGATATAGCTACTCAAGTTTGTGGTGTAAGTAAGAGGAAGGATGTTAAGATGAGAATGAATGTATGGTGGGATGGCGAAGTGAAAGAAATGGTGGCTCTAAAGAAAAAGGCATGGATGGATTTGTTAAAGCTAATAAGAGAATGCAAGGTAATGTAAGTGACATTGAAAAAATTGCAAAAGAGAAGTATGATGTAATGAAAAAGAAAGTTAAAGAATTAGTAAGCAAAAAGAAAGAGGAATGTAAGGATGAGTATGAAAGGAAATTCTCTAGAAATTTTCGAGCTAATCAAAAGCTTTTCTGGCATTTAGTTCGAACAGCTAGAGGTAAAAAGAGAGATCCGAAAATGGGCGTGATAAGGGATATGGATGGTAATGTTATCACGGAACAAAAGGAAGTCTTAGATCATTGGAAGAGATATTTTGAAAGTTTATTTGAACGTGGAAGTGAAAGAAAGAATGTTGAAAATGAAATAATGGACGAAGAAGTTGACAGTGAAAGTGATATAAGTATGGATGAAGTAATGAATGCAATGAAGATTATGAAATTTGGTAAAGCAGCGGGATTCGATAGAATATCTGCCGAAATGCTTAAAGAAGGTGGAGAAATCATTGTAAACCTGCTGTGTCTGCTGTTCAATAAATGTTGGCGGTCCGGTTGTGTTCCAGGTGACTGGAGCAAAGCTGTTATTGTGCCACTATATAAAGGCAGCGGGTCACAGCAGGAGTGCAAAAATTTCCGCGGAATAAGCCTTCTTAGTGTTGTAGGCAAATTGTATGCTAGGATTTTGATTAAAAGAGTGATGAATGAGACGGAAAGTAAAATTTGGGATGTGCAAGCAGGGTTTCGAAAGGGTATGGGATGTACGGATCAAGTCTTTTCCTTAAGGTGCATAACAGAGAAAACCTTAGCTCAACATCAGAAGGTTTTCTGCGCCTTCATTGACCTTGAAAAGGCTTATGATAGAGTGGAGAGGAATGAACTGTGGTCAACACTGGCAATGTATGGGGTGAGCAGCCATTTGATACGGGCATTCAAATCTTTATATAAGGATTCAAATGCCTGTGTCAGAATAAATGGAGTCTATACAGACTGGTTTGGCATTGAACGCGGTGTTAGACAGGGCTGTGTAGCGTCTCCTTGGCTGTTCAACCTATTTATGGACAGTTGCTTGACCGATTTGAAAGGATCTAATTGTGGATTCAGGATGAATGAGTCTCTGTTTAAGACTCTTTTATACGCCGACGACCAAGTACTTTTTGCATCGTCGGAGTATGAATTACAACAAATGGTGACTATAATGAATGAAGCGTATGCAAGAAAAGGTATGAAAATAAATGCGAAGAAGACGAAGGTAATGGTTTTTGAGAGGAATGAAAGTTTAACGGCATGCCAGATTATGATAGGAGATGAAAAAGTAGAGCAAGTGAATGAGTTTCTATATTTAGGTTCTTTGTTTACGAGGGATGGGAAGTGTGACAGAGATATTGAGAGGAGAGTAAAAGCGGGAAACAGTGTTAACGGTGCACTGCTCTCGATTATGTCAAGTAAAAATGTATCGAGCAAAGCTCGCCTTGCTATAATTCAAGGAGTACTGACACCAACACTCATGTATGGAAGCGAATCGTGGGTATGGCAGAAGAAGCATGAAAGTAAGATAAATGCTGTACAGATGAGAGCTTTGAGAAGTATGTGTGGTATTACTTTAAAAGATAGAGTAAGAAACAGTGTGATTAGAGAGAAGTGTGGACTGAAAGACGATGTAGTGACAAAAATTGAAAAAGGAATGTTGCGTTGGTTTGGTCATTTGGAGAGGATGGATGAAAGAAGAATTACGAAAGAGATTTATCGAGCAAGAATGAATGGAGATGTCGGTAGGGGCCGCCCTAGACGGACGTATGTCGACCAAATAGGCGACGTGCTGAAGAAGGGCCAAATTAAAAGTACCCGTAACCGACGAGCGTGTATGACAAGATTGATGAATGTGGAAGAAGCGAAAGAGGTTTGTTTGAATCGAAGCATTTGGCGTTCCATTGTTTCTGCCTACCCTAATGGGAGACAGGCGTGACAGATATGTATGTATGTATGTATGTAAATACAATATTTAGAATAATAATAAATATTTTATATATGAATCGACATAATAAAACAATATCACCGTTATTTAATTGTAATACAAGATTAATTTTTTTTTTTCTTATTTAACCTTCTATCAAAGACTTCTATATCACTACATAAGGTAACATTCTGAATCCTATCAATATATTTGACATTATTACTCTATATCGTCAATACCTATATTAAAAATAAGTAAATTTTTGTCTTTCTTGATATGGCTTATCGTTTCCTATTAAATTAAGGATGTCAAAAGTTAGCATTTTATAGTAATTATTATTGGATTTCAAAAAAATAATTTAAAAATATATTTTTTGTTAACATGAATGTTTTTCAATTTGACTTTTTTGTGTGTATATCTTTGCTAATTGTGAGCCGATTTTGATCAGTCTTTTATTAATCACATTATATATACTTCTGTATTTGTCGTATTATTTGTGTTTCGGTTTTCATGATGAGAAAGTTTTTGAAATATTGAATTTTTTTAAACAAGCGGACAGCCCATCTATATAGTGGTAACCACAACCTAAAGATATGAACAGTACCATGACTGTAACAAAGTATATTATATCACCTGTGATATCCTTCATACATTTCAATTTCAAAAGACTATGCTGTTATGCTTGTACCTTGTAATTTCACAGCTATATCTCACAAATTCCTTCCTTCATACCAAAATATACGGCAGAAATACAAATGGCAAACAAATACACTAGTAGACAAAAAAAAATTTAATACGAAATATAACACCTTAGTCTTTAAGAATGGCAATGTATTCATACATTGATTGTCGCAAAACCCTGTTATTTGTTTCAAAAACCAAATTACTGGAACGATTATAATAAAATTTCCATGGGACTATATGTATATATCAGATAAAAAAAATGATATTTCCAAATTGGTTTATAAATAATGGAGTTCTAAGTTCTGAATTTCGATTTACAATTGTATACAGAATCGATACGGTTTATGTAATGTGGTGCAGCATTATTCCATGCTCACATTTACATTTTACACAAAAAGGTGTAATTAAATTTTCGTCTCGTTTTTATGATTGCATTGCCAGTCTGCTAATACATAGTACGTTATAATAAGTCTATGCTTTCATCATACCACGTCTATCTTCTCTATGGAAAATTTGGCTGATGCTTTCTGGCCAAAACCTAATCAAAGGCTAATGAAAAAAAAATGTATAGAAAAATAAAAGCCGCGAAAATTAAAAATATTTTCAGATTTAGAACTTTCCATTGTTTTAATGTAAAATCTATATTGTCATTTAACGACTTCAAAAAAGCCCAGTAATAATAAATAGATAGCGGATTGATTTTCGACGATGTTACTAAATCAACTGCGATACATTAAATTTAAAGTAAGTTTTAGTTTTACCTCCAATCAACAAAGATGGTATAACGTAGAGAAACCGCGATTACAAAACATAAAACCTCAAGATGCGATACAAAAGGAAACGAGGACTATCGATGCACCTGCATCAAATGAACATTTACTTGGTGAAATATTTCCTGCTGCTAGAATAGTCCCGATGGTATTGACAAATAAAGAGCCAGTGGTGTTATCATTTGACGAAGTGCCTGGACCAAAGTCGCTGAAATATATTTCAAAAGTGCGTTCATATATGTCTGAAATCGGCACACAGCTCACAGCCAGCATCCTAACTTTTGGTCTTAATATTGGTATGTATAAAAGTAATGAGATTATTAGTTTTTACTTAACAACCTGTCACCATTTTATCACAGAAATGATAAGCTGCTATATAGTCTGATGACGAGCAATGATTTGTAATAGCATTAGAGTTATCTGTAACTCCACCGCTAATCTGAAATAAAACTAAAGAACTCTTTTTGAAAATATTGACAGAGAAGGTCATTTCATTCAAGTTTCGTGGTAATGGTCTTTAAAATTGTTCTACAGGAAACTTTCTAGTTTTCGGTTCCACGAAAGCAGGCTTTGTGTAATATGTAAGTAGAGAGGTATATAAAAATATATGTGTATATAGTAACTATGTGATAAATTATAATACAACTTTGTTTTAATTAGGGTAGACATTGTATGCCAAAGCGGACAAGACAAATACATTTTTTTAAGCGTCAATATGCTACAGTAACATAATCGTAATAGGCGGAACGTATGCAATTGTCATCCTAATGTTTTCTTTCGCACCTAATTGCCTGCATGTAAGCACTAGATGGAGTGACGACCTCAAATGCAGTGAATGCAGGTGGCTCAGGAGCGTTCTTTATGGCAGTCTATGAGGGAGGCCTATGTCCAGCAGTGGACGAATAATGGCTGAAATGATAATGAATTTCCCCCGTGTTTAATCCTTTATCTTTCTTTATAGTGAGAGTTAAGGAAAATCTCTTGCATACATTGAAACCTCTTACACTACCCGTGCATGGCAGTAAGACGTTAATAAATTGCTTCTTAATCGACGCCTAAAATATTAAAAGGAAACTATTATTCAAAGTTCCAACCGTGAATCATTTTATCACAAAAAAGAGATTGGCAAGTGTTTAATTCATGTTTAAACATTTTACTAGAAATGCGTGTATAACAAAAAAATCTGTTATTAGAAATAAAGTATGCGTGTATGTGTGATAAGATTACAACTGTTACCACTAATTAAAAAATTACACAAAACTATATTTGATTAAATAGTTAGTTTTATTAAGCACTGTCTCGACAGCGTTTAAATTTTTTTTTTTTTTTTTAAACCGCAACGTTTTTATTACCAGCAGATAGGCTCATCGTTTAATAGATCATTCAATTTGTTAGTTAACCAGGACAACAATTTTTTATCAGGTGAAATTCCTACTTGATATGTTTATTTATTATTTTAGGAGCATACATAAACAATAGGAAACCACTTCGGAATCTTTCGATACTGTTCGACGAATATGGTCCGGTAGTACGCTTCGTGAGTCCAGTCGGAGGCGACATAGTCCTGATCAATCATCCTGATCATATCCAAAAAGTGTATATGATGGAAGGCGATTGTCCTGTCAGGTCGACGCTCGATTCTCTGGAGAAATATAGGACAGAGCATAGGAATCGTGTGTATGCTGGATTATACACAGTGTATGTATTTAAATGGTAACTTAGCGTACGCTATTAGTTTAAGCTGCAAGATATCAGTGAGGGATGATATCTACCACTATCTGCCATAACAGCGAACAGTGTCGGGGGGCGATCTATGAAAAACGACGAGATCCGAAAGGGACGCCAAGTAATATAAAAAAGACTCTGGATCTGGTATGGGCAGTAAAGAGCTCAACGTAGGTGATGTCGAAATGGAAATATGATTTTAGAAATCCAATAATAAATATTGATTTCGGCGTGGGCAACATTGAAATGGATGAAGACTATTTTCGTTGCCTGAGAGGTAAGGAGAGGGAGGGGGAGGGGGCATAAAACTCTTCTTGGTTCAATTTCTCTTCAGTCGTGATTATTTGGACATAATAATATATAGATATATTTCTATTACCTTTCACTCCTTACACGCTTCCCCTGGCCTTCTCAGTTTCGAATTATGTGGTACTGGTAATTTGTCCAGTGGTATATTTTTATTATTGTACAGTCATGGACAAGAATGGATGCGCCAAAGAACGGTTGTATACAATCCACTACACAGTTCCGTCACACAGCACATCCAGGGTATCGACGATGTGTGCGAGAACTTTGTGCAGAAGGTATACAATCTGAGAAATAATCAAGACGAAATCCCGAAGGATTTGTACAAAGAGCTTCACAAGTGGTCTTTTGATTGTATGGGTAAGTTATTGAACTACCTATAATGTATTATTTACATTTGTAAAAACCGCGATGGTATCCAGGGAAAATCGCGTTGAAGTCGAACTGATAAAACGTATATTGCTAACAATGAAACTTTATGACAAAGGAGCGGGTAATTTACTAATAACCCTCGTCTGTCGATGTGAGAGAATCAGGAACAACGTCCAGTCTTATTTTTCTAGTACAAATTCTATTATTTTCAGGATTGATACTATTCTCCAAGAAATTCACGATGCTCAACACTGAACTGGTGTACAGCCAATGCGATATGTCGTGGCTGTACCACAGCTTGGAGAAGGCCACCCAGGCTATAATCAAGTGCGAAACTGGCTTGCACTTCTGGAAATTATTCACTACACCCGCTTGGCATTCTTTGGTGAAATATTGCGATAGCTTAGATAAGTACGTACATATAATGATAACGTCTGATGAAATAACTTTTTATTTTAGTTTTTAATGTTTTAATAAAATAAAGTTTCTTTATTTCTGATGATGAAATAATGTGGTACGTTGATGCAAGGGGGGTTTATTGAAAAATTACTGACCTTTATGCGAGTCAGTCTCTACATGTTTTGCAAAGTTTTACAAAGAACAAACCTAGCAACTATCAACTGTGGGCTAACATTCAGACTTGACGAAATTATAAATTAAAATATTTATATAATAATGTTTCCTATATATACGGAAACAAGCCGACCATTCACTTGATGGAAATTAGTAACTGTTGTCTATAGACATGAACATCACCATGGACGCTAATAGTGTTCCCGTCTTGTCGTTCTTGAACCTAATGGCTAGCTGGTAGAGAATGCCATACGGAATTAAGCTCGCCATTTATTTATTCTTTATTGCAATAAAGAATACATAAATATGTGAAATTGAAATGTATTCTATATACTACCATCGTTTAAAACAAAAGATAGCCATTAACATGAGTGAAACAGAGGTACCGAAGCAGATTAATTTGTACAAAATCTCTGTCTAAAAAATAGAGTAGGTACCGTATATAATTATGTTAAACTAGTTGTATCCTGTGGCTTTGTCCGCGTAAATTAATACATAAAGTATCCCATGTACTAAGTTAGGACATAACCTACCCATGTAGCAAATTTCATTGAAATCAGTTTTTACGTAAAATGGTAACAAACACCGATCATCCCTCTCTACACTTTTGCATTTATAATATTTTATTCGTATATATGATTATTTCTTTTTAGTTTAATTGGAAAACATGTTATGGAAGCAGAACAAGCAATTTCCTTTAAAACCCAAGACGAAATAGGTAAGTTGTCAGATTTTCAGATTTCTAAGCCAATTTACATGATTATTTTTAATTATTATTGGCCTCTTGTTAATTTTGTAAAGCGATTTTAAAATAAAACATATTTTCTTTGTATATTCGCTACATGGACTACGCTAGTTTTGAACCGATTTTAATAATACTTTTTGTACGTGGTTAATTTCTGTATATCGATATAGAAATGTTTATTCTGTCACAATTAAAATAACCAATTTTATTATAGCTTATAAATTTTTAAATTTATTTATTAAAATATATATATAAATAATGTTAAAATTTAAGTATTATTTTTTATAAATTTAAACTGTTTAATAAACGTCATATTTAAATTATTTATCAGGTAAAAATTCACTGATCAATGCTATGCTGATGAGTGATGCGAAAATGAATGCTGAGGATATTGCTACTATAATTATGGATATGCTTCTCATTGGAGTTAATACGGTATAACGTTGATAACTCATCTATTAAGGCGACTTTAAGAAATTATCAAACAATGAAATGTGAAAGTATTTATTGACAATATGTAACCTAGATAAATTGTACTAGCTTTTGCCCATAACTTCGCTCGCGTATGGTATTGAATTTCTAGCAGATTTTGTTTTGAACTATGTGCCTAAAATTTCACATGTCTAAGTTCTAAACTGACGAAATTCCACACATAACCTTTTAACCCCGTTTTCACCCATTTCGGAGATGAATTTTCAAGGGATATTGGAAATTCTTATTGATCATGAATGTTATATAAAGAACCTATCTGTAATATTTTCAAATTCAACATCCTCTTTTATATGTATAGTTATTTAAGCGGCTACTTTACCCGATTCAGAATATTATAATAGAACTGCACTGCGTCAGGTAATATCATTATCGGTAACCGTTTACCGTTAGACGGGCCGTATGCTTGTTTTCCACCATAATATTATAAAAAAAAAAATACAAAATTATTTACAGCCTGATTAGCGTAAAATAGCCATTATAGATTAATATTACAGATTACTTCATCGATGTCTTTCATGTTATATTATTTGGCAAAATATCAAAGATCACAGAAGATACTTTATGAAGAAATATCCAAATCATATAGAAGTGATGGATCAATTGAAATTGACAACATCAAAGAGGAAACTCCATATCTTCAAGCTTGTATAAAAGAAACTCTAAGGCGAGTAATATAGTTTGGCTAAATTTGGCTGGTGTTGATTATTTTTAAAAGAATTTTCTTTTAACAGGTTAGTTCCACCGATCCCTGTGCTGACGAGGATTTTGTCAAAAAATGTTACATTAGATAGATACAAGTAAGTTTTAAAAGCACAGATTTTGAGAGATTCATTGTTAGTAACGGAGATTAGCGGATCCATTGCTAGTATTATACCGTCAAATTGCCTTCCACGCTGTCCCTCCTGGTACACGCCTGGTGAATTCATCACAGTGACCTAGTCTCATTGCCACTTCACATCTCATTTGTATACCAAGGGGTATATAGATACGTAGGCTGGTTAAAAATCACTGCTGTACTGAAATGGGATCTATGCATGAATGGCAACCATTGTTGTACAGGAATGGATTGTTAGTAATGAGGTCGGTTTATGGTAGCCTTTGCCAGATCGACCTCCATACGGTCCTTCCTGGAAACCATCGTCAATATTCCTTGGTGAAATTGTCACGATACGCTAACTAATCCATCTTCATCAATCGTTGGTACAGCGTATACAGATATTACCATTTAATTTTCATTAAAAAAATCAATTCTAGCATACCTCGGGGGACCCTCATTATAATGTCAACGCAGGACGCGTCACTGAAGGAGAACAATTACGATGACGCCACCAAATTCTGTCCAGACAGATGGTTGAAAACAGATGCCAAAGATTACCACGCATTTGCATCAATTCCTTTCGGTTTCGGTGCCAGGAAATGTATTGGACAGAATATAGCCGAGACTATGTTGTCAATGTTAACTATTCGAGTAAGTTTCATTTCTGTATTCTGTACCAATTGCTACCCATGACTTTGTCTGCGCAAGAGATATTATTACATTGATTGGCAGATATAATACATAATCTGTCCTTCTTCTATACACAATGATTGGTTGCCAAGAGTACATTTTTGCATATTTACAATATTAGTAAGAATAATATGCAGTTATTTATATGACGATTTACAAAAGGAGGTGCTTAGTTATTTTTATTTGCGGTGTGTGTGTTATATAATATTGTCGCTAATTTGTAAACCAATTTTGATTATCCTACTAACATAATAAAGACTATGTATGCACATATGTCTATCTGTATTATATTATACTGATATTCTGACATCAAACAAAAACACCAAATTGGATGAGGTTTTCACAATGGTGTTCCTCAAGGTGTATATTGCATATCAAGACCAAACATATAAAAAATTATGTTTGGTCTTGATATGCCATCTAGAAATAGTCTATTTGTTTATCCTTCTGAAATCCACACATATGAATTAGCGGACAAAAAGCTATTTCTTTACATAGGTAGTCAATAGGATTTGTTGCTATATTGGTTTTATATTAATGTTGTGACTATAATGGATTTTTTTTTGTGGCTCAATATCTTGATTAGTGAAAATTTAAATCTACTTATAGATTATTTAAAATATGATCTTGTGTTTATGAAATCTGTCACTCAATGAAGCATTGTATTAATTTCAAAATAAGAATACTGATATTTCTTATATATTTGTGGGATAAAATCTACTTATTATCAAAATAGTACTAAACTATTTTAATAATGGAAATATAATTTCAGCTTATACAAAAATACAAACTGGAATATCATTATGGTGACATTGAACCTACAAGATCTTTTATTGCAAAACCAAATAAACCTTTGAAAATAAGGTTTGTTGATAGAATTTAACATTTTGAATTGTGATGTGCTATAAAAACATACATAATAAAATTGTATAAATTATATTTGAAGAATTAAATTTATTTCATACATTGTATGTATAACTATATAATAAAATAAAAATATTAAATTTCATAGCATTTTCAATTATATTTTGGTTCCCGTTAATTACATATAAAAGTAATTAAAGCTAACAGTTATTATAGGAAACCAGACCATCATTTTAACTTAGCCTAGATTCATTTTATAAATAAGAAAATCTTCGGCTACAATTACATAATAGATATTAAAACATACTTTAGCTTAAGAATGGTTATGGTTAGATAGGAAAGTTGGTAAGTGTGCATTTAATTTATAAAGGAAAATGAATGTATGCATAACATATGAAAAAAATATTTTAGATATCATAGAATATACTGTATAACACATGACATCCCATATGGATTGTTACACCCGAGGGAAATTATTATGCCACTATTTTTAGAAATTTGATAAATCAATGGCAAATAACTATAATTAAAAACTAAATTATGGCTTTATTATACATTGAAGATAATAACAATATAACAAACTTTAACATACTATTGTTTCTGTCTCCTTGAGGTAAATATATTAAGGTATTTCCCTCTAGTCATTTCTTTAGCTTCTTCAAGCCCTAATTGGTAAGCAAGGTCATGTAGCTTCTTCACTTCCATTATGAGACCACTTGTAGACAGTGAACTTAATTCTGTAAAAATAAATCAAATTCTCAGTTGTGCAAATTTGGAACAAATGTAGTATTAATGTCTTACTAATATTAGAAATATAATTTTTTTTAAAAAAATAATACAGCATTTTCCAATTTTAAACATTAACTCATGGTGAAAGAGCAAAAATACATATCACTATTATAAAATACAAGACTAGAACAGAATATGATTCTGTAAGAAAAAGAATATTGATAATAAAACATACCAAGCCACCCGTAGAAAGTCTACTTAATATTGGGATGTTAATGTTTAGTCTGCCTAAGATATCTATAGGAGATACCTTGAGCAGCATGGTTTTTGGTAAATATTGCTTATTATTTTTAATGACTGTTGCAAATTAAATGAAAAAAAAAAGGTACTTCATGATTCTAAAATTAATAATGATAAACCTTTGATATAGCAACAAATAAAGTAAATTAACAGTTCTCTGCAAAGGTTTGCCTGCACAGAATCCTTATGTTAAATGAAAAAGATGTAATGAAATCACACACATAGAAATATTATATATTTATAATATAATTACAGTTCGAATTTCAGTTTGGGAAGAATAATAAAATTTTAAATAAATAACTTAGAAAACATTTTTTTTATGGTGAATAAATTTTTATAAACACTTACGTTGCATATAATTTATATCCTCCTTAGTGAAACCCCTACTCCAGGAAGGAGGCGATTGGTTAGCATTGTGCATTGCCGCGAACTCCGATACCCCTGGTACTGCAAAGGAGTCATTGGAACAATGTGACTCATCATTATTTGAATTAACAAAATTATCATTATCATCACCCATAACAAACAAATTTAAAAACACGAACGGTTCTTAACCGAAAAGCCAAATCAAAATTGATAAATGCAGTAGTTACATGGCGGAATAATATGACAACATTATAAAGAAAACGAATCGCGCGATTTTTGAAAATGATTCCTGGGCAGTTCTGTATCTTTAGGTTAACAACCATATTAAAAAATGCAGTTAAACTTACTTTGTTCCGGCCATAGTTCTGGAGATGCACGATCCAGCTTTTCTAAGCTGAGGAGACTTTCGTCTAAGGACGTCAAGGGAATATCATCAGAAGGTTGTGCTGAAACAAACACAAAAACATACAGTAATAAACAAAGAAAATAATGATGAGGTTTTACAAAAACCACTAAATAAATTAAATCTAATTAATTATTCTGTGTAATATGACATAAAGATGATCTAAAAGACAAAAAATAAAGAAATCTACCTTCTTGTAATGTAGAAGTCTGTTTCGCGGCCATTTTCCAATTTTTGACAATACAATACTCATAGATAATCCATAGATTATACAAAATGAATCTAGAATTGGTTGCGATCTTGTACTTCTAATTTAAAATCAAACCAAAGTGATCTTAAAAGGAATAATCAAAAATATATAATAGTAGAATGGCTAAGAAATAAATCTTGAATTTATTGCTTCTCCTCAGATCATACTGAGTATTATTGTGTCGTGTTTAGTGCTCCACTGTCTTTCATAATTATGATTGTACAATTTGTCCTTGTATGAGTTTTAATCGAAGCTGCCAAATTAAGTATTTTTTCACAAAATTGAGCCAATATTTATGTATAATATTTGAAAAGAAGGGCAGAGAAAATTAGAAAAATAAAATGATTATATTTTTTTATCATTCAATTTGTGGCATATGGTAAAATTATATGAAAAAGATACAATTTTGTATTAGGATAAAGTCAAAGAAATTATATCAATTTAGACAATAGGTATTTGACGTTTGAGATAAAAATCAAAATTTACATCTGGCAATCCAGACCTTAAAATACAATAATTAAGATTTTACTGGCAACAAATGTAATATACTTCTTTCTTTCTTCCGGTTGCCAACACAAGGCAAGGTGGGTTTACGCCACATGGTTTTTTAAATAAATAACTGTGAAATCCTAATTTTACGTATACTATTAGTATATTTTGCTTTTAAGGTAAGATTTCAGTGTCTCAGTGAAAGATATTTTAGTTTGGAAGTTCCAACAAAAGAGTGTTTTGTGTGGTGGATGGCGATGAGGTTGAGAACTATAAATCTATTTTACTATTAATTCTTAGTTTCATTAATAGGATTAAAATGTTAACACTTAGATAACCTTGCATTGTAAACACTCAATATGCATAATATTGAAAAATATTGATTAATCGGTGTTTAATTTTTATTTTAAAAGTTATAGGTATTGTCTAACCTAACACGCATTCTTAATATGTATTCTGAAAACTTTATTCCTGTCAGCAACCGACAAATTCAATTAAACCAATTATTAAAGTTTGTGTATGTAACTGTTACCTTTATAATTAATGTGAAATATTATTTACTGTTTGCAAATATGCATACAAGATTTATTTCAATACAACTTAATAAAAATGTGGAAAAAAATAAGTAAATGCCTAGTCCATAAAATAGTCTACTACAAGTACAATAAAATACAATTAATTGACTGAAAATTTAGGTTTGTTACTAATTCATTTAGTGTTTCTGTAATTATTTCACTTAAGCTTTGATTACCTTTTATCAACTTTTTTTTAAATACTATAGATTGATTTATGGTTATACTCACTTTTGAGAGGAATGTCCACACCTGGTCAAATTACCTATAGATAAAAAAAAAAATTAAGTTCTAATAATAATGTAACTAAAATACATTATTAGTAGCAATAAAACTTTTAGCTGTCTATTTACATGATATTTACAAGTAACCAACTGTCCCACATTCTGCAGGACCGTCCTGCAATGACAATTGTAATTTTGCATTGCAAAAAAGTCCAAACAAATAATCCAAAGCATTCCGTATATCCCGCATTCCTTGTTTCCTATTGTCTCACTTACATAAAAGTGTTCCATATAAAAATATGAATGATGAGGTGCCATAGTTTGTTTTCCAGGAGCAAACACTCCTACAGAAGGAGTATTTTACTTAATAAATAGCTTATGGAAATATCATCACTAAAAATAATCACATTACATGCAATGCTAATTGTAAAATTTTATATGGGCATGTGAAAAATATGACTTTAACAATACCTGTTAATTCAATAGTAGTGTTGTTTGTTTCTAATTTAAGTACACCTCCAAACAATTCCAACAAATCTTTAGTCTTATTGTGTACAGGGGTGGGTGTCCCATTCACTTGTTATAAAGTTGGTCACCATATTTATAAGTGAATAATATATTTATTACAGATGCGTTCCGTTACACTCAAAGATGTCGAACAAGACAAGGTTGTCAAGACCGTTGCTGCCCATTTAAAAAAGTATGTTTTATGTGTATATATTTCAGTTATAAGACATAAGATTATGCATTACAGTACAGACTCAATTAACTAGACTAGTTGTTGTTGGATATTCGAAAATCTAGACATAACTCTAGAAAGATAAGATAGTTATTTATGGTGTTGTTCATGTCTATGTATAGTTTAAATGATGAATAAATAAGTATACTTTATATGCATTATAAAGTATACAGAATAAGCAAGACAATAAATGTAACTATTCAGTTGTATAAGTACAGTAAGTATTATTGCACAAAGCAAGTTTGGAAATAAAACATTAACTAAAATAAGTACCTGTTATTAAATTTAAAAACAAAATTATTAACTATATACATACATATTAAATATCTACCTAATCCTAGAACAAATATATATAATTACAGACAAAAAATAAAATAAACAATTATGTTAATACATATATAAAGAATGTCAATTTATTAAATGATGTCAACAAAACTAGCTTTGTCTATGAGAATATTATTTATAATAATATTGGTGCAGAATTAAAAATCATTACAAAGATATGAAAAATGTTAGATGTAATATCTCTATAATGTCTGTTAACAAGTCTGCAATTAAGAATATGTAAAACTTATTTAACTTAATGGATAAGAAAGTGTTGATGTTTATAATTGGCTATGAAATGAATAGTTAAATAAATATTTACAGACGCTACACCTTTATCCATCAAGTGAGATTGCTATATGTATATGCTTGGTTGATTGATTATTAACATTGTCAAGTCTCTAGTCTCTTCAGTAACAAAAAGAAGTAGGAATATTGTATGTTTATCATCAAATAATAATATTTGAACTTTTATTTTTTTAGAACGGGCAAAGTCAAGGTGCCAGAACACATGGACCTTGTAAAGACTGCCCGATTCAAGGAATTGGCTCCATATGATCCTGACTGGTTTTATGTGCGCTGCGCAGCTGTCCTTCGTCACATTTACATCCGTTCTCCAGTTGGAGTCAAAACTGTTACGAAGATTTTCGGAGGTCGTAAACGCAATGGCGTCACACCCTCACATTTCTGCAGGTGAATATGTTTTCATTTACTATAATCTACTTTTTTTATACCACTGATATAGTTTACTATTTGTCTCTCTATATGCTAGAGCTATTATCAAATACAAATCCAAAGTTTAAATTCAGTTAGTACATTTAATTGATTTTTGATTGATTGAAAAAATTTAAAGTCCTGGGAATTGTTAATGATAGGACATTGGTATTTCCATTTCTTTTAAATTGGTTTTTACATGTATACATAATTCTCTATTGATATGCAGAAGCTGCTAAATATCGAGAATGCAACTCAACTGGAGATTAATGACACTAGAAATCAACTATCTATTTTTATTAATGAAATAGTATGGAACTAATTTCATATAATTATAATAATAATTATTTTTTCTTTCAAAATAATATATTTTCATTGCTTGCTTGATGCTTAATGGAATTCTATGAATTGCATTAAGCATCTTTTTATACAGTCGGTAGTGTATCATAATTACATTTACAAATATTATAGAAAATTCTGTTACTTTTTAAATATAAAACATGTCATATTTGTTAATAATGGATCTTTACAAAATTTTTATGTATATGGATGGAAAGAATTTAGGAAGAAAGAAATGAAAAAGAGAGTTTCTTATTCTGGAATAAGGAGATTAATTTAAAAGTAATATGTTGCTAAAAATATATGTATCAGTTTACCAGAGGGCACCTATGCAAATCTCATCTAGATACATCTGTCCCACTCATGTTTCTGATTGAAGTGAAATTACAGAGTATAGATATCTTAGTCTCAGAAATAACAAAGCATGAGGGATGCTATGGGTATGGCAGTAATCTTATGATATCCATAGTACTGTTCATGTTTATAAATGATGGTTACCACTTTCCTTCAGGAGAGCAGTCATCTTGTTTGCCTTTAAAAAAAGGTTTTGTCATATCTCTTAGTAAAAGCTTTGTACATTTTAAAACTAAATGGTATTGTATAATGTGTCCAATAATATTTATTTATTCTTTATTTAATTACAGATCATCAGGAAGCATTGCCCGCAAAGCATTGCAAGCTTTGGAGGCTCTGAAGCTGGTTGAGAAAGTTCCAGATGGTGGCCGCATTCTTACTGTGCAAGGCAGGCGTGATCTGGACAGAATCGCCGCTCAAGTCCGTCTAAAGGCTAAGCAGCAGGCAAAACAAGCAGTTATTGTCCTGTAATTAGCAAATAAAAATAAGTAAATAAAAATTTAAGTGTTTTAATATTTGGTTTTCAATATCATTTAGTATGTTTTAATTTAATGATGAAAATGGGAAAGGAGATCAATTGGCCTATCATAATGACTTCATTGGGAGATCAATTGGCCTATCATAATGACTTCATTGGGTATTAATCATGACACTTTCTAAGGAGGACCGCATGATGGTCGATTTGACAAGGTTACTATACTGTTAGTGATGAAATTACAACACCTACTCCATTTTTTAGATATTACACAACGGAAACTAAGCAAAACTTGGATTATGTGTACTAGACTACTTTTTATATATTTCGGATTATACCCTTTTACGGGGAGGACTGAGAGGAGGAGAGGAAAGGATTGCTAATAACGGAGAATTGCAGCCCCATTGCTAGTAATATACACTTGCAAGTCGACTTACCCTTCGTAACCGTCGCCTATAGACATGAGCAATACCATGGACATAGCAGAGTATACTGTTTCACCCATTATACCACCCCATGAATTGCCATTCCTGAGGACTCTGCTGTTATTCCTCTACATCCTATAAATTCACTGCCATATCCCACCCTTCAAATCGAAACAACCATGCAAACGCAACTGCTTCACGGTTGAAACACGAATGGGACAAAGATATCCAACCAAACGATTTGGGGGGAAAGGGATTGTCAGTATGGAGACAAAGAATCCCATTGCTAGCAATATACCCGGCCAAGTCGACCTCCTCCCTGGAAACTATCATGGTTAATTCCTTGTGAATTCGTCGTGATGGGCTAACTGGCCTGTTTTCATTCTCATTGATCACCCTTCACTGGTGCTCCAGCGTATCTCGTTAGCGCAGGCGGGATTACTATTCCATTTTTACCCATCTAAAAAAACCAAACTACTTTTGTGCAGTCTCCCTCTGCTAAGGATTTACAATTCGTAAGCGGTGGTTCACGAAAATTCAATCGTATTACAATTTAATGTGATAACGATAATAATTTATAGTGTAATATTTACATATTTGAATAAATATAACAAAAAATATACAATTTTTATTTTTACTACTCCAAAAAGGGAGTTTTCTAAATTAGATAATTAAGAATTGATCGGTTCCTTGTGCTGTGGGTAGATGTAAAAAAGTAAAGATGGATAGATTATTTTTTAATTAGCCAACTTTGTTGACATCCACTCACAGCACAATTAATTAATTCAAAATTTTTTTTATTGAATACTATTAATTCCAGCTTGGAACTCAGCCGTAACGCAAATTTCCATAGTTTGATTTAATCTTCATATTTTTTGTCAGTACAGTTTATCGTATTTGATCACAGCAGTTTCCCTTCTAAACTATAATGGTTTTTAAATGGAATTGCAGAGGTTGATCTAATTGTACATCTTTAACAATGGGGCTATCAATTCCCTTCACAGGAGTTAGGTAGCACCTATGATTGCAAAAGTAATCGAAATTTGACTTATATCTATCTGTATGTTATGTATGGATCTACGGAAATTTCAAATATTTTTGTATAGTGGTTATTTGTCTTAAGAACTCCTTTAAATATGGCTGTGCGAGTGAAGTATCATTGCCATAAAGAATAAGTAAAAAAATTAAAATTAATAATTTCTTAGCTCGTGTTGCTGTAATAAAAATATTTGTATAAAATGTATGCAAACCAGATATTTATGATGTAACTAGTTTACGTTGTTTAAAAACTTTACACAACACAATTGCTAGGTTCTTAATGATACCTATCGATATCGACATTTTGGACAATACAACTTGGAATATTATAGCTAATACCTTTATGTATATTCATATATTATTTTATTGTTACTTACAGATAGTTACATAGAATAATATTCTAATTCTGTTAATATAGAAATAGTATTAAATCTTAACGTTATGTTTTCTTGATCCATGGATAATTTTGCTGTATGCAAATTTTGCTTTAGTAATTTTTGAATAAATTTAGCATTTCAAAGAATAAAATAAATAATTCTGAGAATTTCCAGACTTGGCAGCAATAACACCTTGACTTAACCAAGGTCAATCTATAATTTCAGTTACGTTTTTTGGTGCTGCTTTTAGCTAATAACTTGTAAGCGAGTTGGCAGCACTGGCTTGGCGTCTGTCATTAGCGTACTGTCACTGTCAACGTCATTGTTCGTTCTATCAACTTAGAATTTTGTTTTTGTGACAAACGCATTCTACCGACCGACAGATGAACTATCATTTTGTGTTGAGTGATCAATTGTGTTTGTAAATTGTTGCTGACTTCGTTTCAAATTATTGCAGTTTTGTAATTCTCCTCTCATTAGATTGTATGTATGGACATGCAGTGATCGCAAAATGTTGGTGGCATTTGGACGTCGTGCGGTGTTTGTCGTGTTGTTGTTTTTAATATCGTGTGTTGTTGGCTTACGCCAGTATGGAACACCGAGCGGGACTTTATACGTAGCAGATGATCACTTGGAAAAGGATCAGAAATATACTATAATAAATCAATTTTTCAACGAAGAGCCAAACACTAATTTGGAAAGAAGAAAACGCGATGTTACCCCGCCACCGACTCCCGGTGCACAGAAAAATATAAGTACATGGGTAACAATCTACTTCCTTATTATCCTCAATCGGTCCCCTTTGTTATTGGATTTGAACACAGTATATTCATATTACAACAGTTATTCGTTGAATGTCATCGCACCTTGTTATTGTTTCCTATACTCTACTTTCTATATTGAGTAGGTAGACATATCATTTACCTAGAATGACGTCGCATGTTTTGCGCAGAATATGACACTACATATTTCTCGAAAACATTGTTACACATTTAGGCAGTCAATATAAACAGTTGCCAAAAGTAAATACCTATTAAAATTTTACAACACAAAATGACTAAGCATTTTAAGTGTGGTCTGTAAAGAGTGGTCAGTGGCCTTTTAGGGTGGTTTTACCTTAGTGTACAGTCTTTTATAGGGGTAACCCTTTCTATATAAATATTGCTTTATATCTCTATATATATTGCTAAGAAAATAATGCAAAAGGCCTTTAACCATATCTTTATATTAATATGTGCATTTGTTATTATGTTTTAGAATAGAATATAATTTTGTGAGTACTTAGTTAAAATATTAATTAAAATGATATAATATAAGTATAGAATATATTCAGCAAAGTAATAGGGACCCAAAATATATATAATTATGTTACAATGAAGAAAATCTCTTCATTTAGGGTATGGTGCTGGTGATATATAATTTTTAAACACTCTTTACTGTATAAGCACAGTAGTTAGTGAGGACTTTTGCAGTTGAAATCAATCTAACAATCACCTTAGTTAATACTATAAAGAGAAAAGATAAACTCAGGTAATATTAAATAAATTTTAAGAATTATTCTGCATATAGAAAGCTATATTATCAATGAGTAACATGGATGGCATTTTATTTAAAAAAATAGATACATCTACCTATTTACCCATGTGAATCTGGGGCAGGTTGCTAGTCACTTATACATCATAAATTTTTTATATTTTTAATGTTCTGTTCCTGCTATCTACTATACTATGGTAAACAGAGTAAATGTTTCATTATATTACAGTAATAGTCATGAAAGTAATTTATAAATTAATCTAAATTAATTATAATATTCATTAGGTAAGATAGTATTATTTGTAAGCTTTTTTAAATTTATCTAATGCCCTATTTCATTTAAAAATTTGTCCTTTTATCAGACAACCCATCTCAATGACAGTCATCAACAGCTGATGGTACACTGGGTTGGTGAAGGATCCAATGTAATAATTTGCTTAGCACGAGACTCTGTGCCACGTGCTAAGGGAGGTATATCACCATCAGCTCTCTACATATCCTACAACTATGGGATGAATTTCACTAATAAGACTGAGAGCTTCAGATTAGGAGACTCTCCTGATAGTGGTTATGCACAGCTGGATAAGTTCTTCAATCATCCCAAATACCCGCAATTTGTAAGTATAAAATTATTTATATAGAAAAAAGAATTGTTAAGACTTCATTTCACCTATCCAAGTGTAGCTGGAATTTTTCTGTATCCTTCTCCATAACATATATTATTATTATATCAGCTTTTATAAGGGGGTTTTGCCAGTGGTTGGCATGGCCACTCCAGTTAGACTTTCGTGATGTTTTTAGAGGTATGCTGTTGTCCATTTCTCAATCATTGAGTTATCCTAGTCACTTCTTACAACCCCCATGAGAAAAGAATTATGTGTATACTAAATTTAGTAGTAATTGGTTAAAGCGCTAAGGGATAATAAACAAACAAATCTTCTGTCACATTTATAATATTAATGAAAGTTCATGCTGCAAGACTTCGGGACTTGGGAACCACTTATTTGATAATAAATATATTGATATATAAAATAAGAATCATTTTAAATTTCACTTCAGTTAATTTATCTTCTCTATCTGTAACTGGCAATTAAAAGTTATCATGAACCTATAAAAAGTATTGATATGTGATTGTTTAACAATATTTCTTATAAAATACATAATTGGATGTTTTTATTTATTGAAATTAGTGACTGTTCATATTTTCCAAAGATTCTTTTGTTGCCAAACTCACAAATCTTACAATACAAACAAATGTTGATTTAAGTTAATGAGTAGTCAATAAATAACATTAATAAGCAAGGCAAATTTATTCCAATTTGCCAATGAAATCAAAGTATAGGACAAATCAAATGTTGCGTCATATTTTCTAATCAGCTAGTACTTTAAATAATGAAATCGATTTTATTCATTTACTATCTATAGGTACCAAATAGAATAATAATGTCTACAAGATAGGAAAACTTAATCCACAGACAGTAGGTAAAAAAGGTATATTTATATTCTAAAGGTCAAAATAATCATGCAGCACATTTGTTATTACAAATCGAATGTTTTTAAATTATGTTTTTCCTTGTAGTGTGTATTTGTGGATTCCACCAACAAGAAGCTATTTTATACCAGCGATAATGGTGTGACCATACATAGGTCTGATCTGAATTTCCATCCCAATGAGCTGGCCTTCGATGAGGAGTTTCCAAGCAAATATGTCGTTTTGGATAAAGTGGGCTCTAATAGAATGGTAAGTATATTATTATTTCAGTTTATTTAAAAATAGTATAATACTTTTTTTTTTTTTAATACAATCATAATGCATTTTGAAAACTACTGTCCAACCTTTTTAATTATAAATGTTATATAATGTTTATTATACTATTTTTAAGAGATAAACTGTTAGTTAGAAAGTGTCACTGTTGTTTAGAGATAATTATTCTGTTTTTTTTTTATACATAATTTTAGAGCTCCATCCCATAGTGGTGTTCTAATACCATTTTACTACTTTGAATTTCAACTTACAACTCAAAACAAAGGCCGAGACTTAGAATGGCATACCTTAGTTTATATTTTCTTCAGAGATAAACTATTTTTTTTTAAATACATAATACATACCTTTATAATAATATTTTATGATAGGATTTATGACGAACGAAATGTTAAGCTTTATTTACTAGACTGATTTCGGTATGAACAATAACACGAGGTTGAGTCAGAAAATTCGGAATTTTATTTCATGGTAGACCTCTGATACTACAATCATACAATAATGTGTTTTGCTACGGTAAATTATGTTAGCGCTCAATGCGTTACAAATATTACAGTAGTGTATATTTTTTTCTGTTTCTTCACAAAATTAAGAAAAATACCTACGTCTGGAATGGTTTTAAGGATCCATAATGTTTTTGTTCTAGCTTTATCTCACATTGGACGGTGGGAAATCCTTCAAACTAATTCAAAACTACGTAAAGACGTTCTACTGGTCGTCCGGTCCCGGTTTCTCGAAAGTGTTCTACGTGGAACGATGGAAGCCGGACAGGAACAGTACAGTGATCAGTGCGAACGATCCAACCGAACTCAACGACGCAAACAACGTCGTGTTTCTAGAAGCGAGGGACTTCCAAATTAAAGGTGACTACATGTTCGCAACGAGGCAGACGAAGGAGGTAAGATTTTGCTATTGGATTCGCAACTTTAATAAAAAAAATTTTGATCCTAAATTCACTCAGGCTGTGGATTGAGCTCCTTGCTGAGGTTTTCTCTAGAGACTACAGTATGGGGTTCTTTCACGCACGTGATGCCTCTACTGTTGCAGGCGTCCATAGCCTACAGTGACGGTTTACCATCAGAAGGGCTGTAAGCTTTATAGCCAGTCCTTAATGACTGCAGTAGATTTCACTTATAATATCGTATTATTTGTTTATCTCCCAAACCGACATTTATACAAAAGTATATTCAAGATGCATATGAAGTATTGTGACCACTGACACGGTTCATACACATTTCATAGATGCCTTGTGGTCCGGGCATAGAATGGACCACGCCTTCCTTTCCCGTGGATGTAGTAAGAGGCGACTAAGGGAACTTAATGCTCAAGGGATGGGCAGCAGCGTCTCTCTTAAAATATCATGAAAACCTAACTGCGATTGCCAACAACAAAATTTGCCAAGCATGGCAATTACTGTAAAACTTTCCTTACGAAGGAGGCCTATGTTCAGCAGTGGATAGTTAACGGCTGATATAACGGTATACATATTTCTCCCACTTGTAACTTTTCATATTAAAAAATACACCCATAGAATTTAATTAAATAAAAGGACATGTTAATAATTTGAATTCAGAATTAACGAAAAATTTAAGAAGAATAACGAATTTTTTGTAGAACTGAAAACATGCTTCTTTTTATGTCGCTTAATATTACACAGAGGTCCAGATAAAGATAATAATTTTGCATTCGGCCAGAATGTAAGTGAAGAGTTTACGCTCTCGACGTCCAACAGTATACTCTGTTATGTCCATGGTACTGCTCATGTCTATAGGCGACGGTTACCACTTTCCATCAGGTGGGCCGTCAGCTTGTTTGCCATTCTAAGTTATATAAAAAAAAATATCCGGAGATTTTTATTTACATTGTAATCTATATCATATAATTTTTCGACCGAAACAATGGCTGTATACATAATTGGCGGCTTTGATAAAATTAATCGATAAGTGCATACATATTACATGAATCATTACACAGGTCATAATACACATGTCGATTAAGTCATTGTTAGAAATTAATTAAAATTTTACTTCAATCGCGCAAAATTATAATAAGACAATGACGAGTGTATACATTATCGATTGTAAAATGATTGATCAAAATCGGTTCAGAATTATCAAAGATATCGCCTAATATATGCAAAAGGAAGTAGATTTTGTCCCACAAAAAACATCGACTTTAGTCGTGAATAACTCGATTATTTTGATTTAAAAACCAATTTATATTTAAATAAATAAATAAAATAAATAAATTAAAATCCAAACTACTGAACATCTTTTGGTGAAATTTCTATGGGGCTAATCTGAAATTATATCGTTTCATATAAAAGAACAATTCTTCAAATCGGTTTATAAACGTTGGAAGTCTGTGGTAAGAAACATAAAAAATACATTTTTTTTAAATCGGTTGAAAAAAATACAGAAGAATTGCGGACTAAAATCTAGGAACTAAGATTATGAAAAACAACAGCATTAAGTCCGCCTTTTATACCAAAACATTTTTTGTAATGTGGGCAATAAAGAATAAATTAAAAATAAAAAAATAAAAACCTATTGACACCTGCAATGCAATTTCAAAGTTTATTTGAATATTATCAGAAAATTTTCATCATTTCGCCTGCATGCATCAGTATATATGTATCCTATATGTTAAATTAGAGTATAACCTACTCGTTTACTAAATTTCACTTAAATCTGTTTAACCGTTTAAACATGACTAAGTCACTTACATTTAAACATGTTTACGAACTATCATAATTTTATAATATTAGTATTTTTGCAACTAGTTTTTTTACCACATACCAACTATAAGAATTAATTCTCCGATGACTACTCCTTCTGTCGTGTTTATAAACAATAATTTGAAAGAGGGTCTGTACATTTAATATTCTATTATATATGCTACAATATAAGTTATAGATACATATACAATTTGTTTCAATAATTGAGATAGGGGCTTTGATTTTATTGTGGCATCAATTCGAGATCCAAATGTTTTCAGACAAATGGAACGAATCATGTGCTTTTGGAAACGTTTACAAAAGAATTAATTTAGGAAAAACTCCAAAGCAATTTTATTGTGTTTTGGCCAAGAACCATTCCAATTAAGTCAGCTTATTTGAGGTTTGATTAAAGAAAAAAATCTGTATTGTAATTGATTTATTCGTTTCGGAACAATGACGTATCAAATAGTTATAAAGAACCACGATGTAGCTTTATAAAATAGATGGAACTAATGTGTCTATAATGGACGAGCCCCTAAACCCGAATCAACCATTTCGGGTTCGATATCGATTGGACCAATTTGACAATAGAACGTTTATGATTTGGATTGAGTTCGTGTGTTCGGGGTTACGTTGACAGATGTGCATTGCATATCGCCTGGTTCTATGTAACACACGGTATGTAACCTTGACTGTGTAAATACAGATAAAGAATTTGCTTCGCAAAAAAAAAGCAACTATTTCAACCGTGAATATTTTAATATTAGCTAAATAACTTAAATAGTAGAGGGGGAAGGGAGTAAGGGATTATTAATAATGAGATCTAATAGCTTCATTGCTAGCAATATACCCTAACAGGTCGACCTTCACATGGTTCTCCCTGGAAACTATCGTGGTTAATTTTTGATATATCGTTACGATGGGCGAACTGACCTGCTTCATCTTCATCTATCATCCCTCTATGGTGCCTAGTAAGCGGGTACTGATAGTACAGAGAGGGTTATTTATTTATTTATTTATACTTTATTGCACCAAGTAAAAAGAGAAATAACAAGTACAGTAAATATAAATGAGAAGTAATACAAAAGGCGGTCTTATCGCTAAGCAATCTCTTCCAGACAATTTTTATCTACAATTTTTATTAACTATTTTTATCCATTAAAAACATACGAGAAGACTATCCATTTTAAAAATAATTATCGAAAGGGGTTTAGAATTATTAGTAAAGATACTAAGAGCCAAAAAGTACGTTTGAATTTAGAACTATCCTATTGAAAGTCTCTTTAAAAAGATATAAGGATACCTATAAAACAAAGATGGAGGTTTGATACTTCTGAGAATCCTGTTAATAGATTTGATATTGTAGCATAATAATAAGATAGATAGTATCAAAGTTCTACATATCATCGACTAAGTGATTTCTCAAGTGAATAATATGGTATAAATTGTCTAACTAGAGAAGTCCGTTCATCCGTTCTCGTTAGTAATACTTACTAGGGTTGATACGTTATATATATATATATATATATATATATATATATATATGAAATGAAAAAAAAATGCGGATTGGGTAATTTTTGCATTTGTTTTATTTGAGAGACTCATGGCTGAATTTTAATACAGAGATGTCCTAAATATATATGTATAAATATCACTTACCGTCGAGTTAGGTAACAAAGATGAAGTTCGAATCCATGTTATAATAATAATAATAATATTTTTTTTTTTAATTTATAAATTTAAGCTGATATTGTAAAAAGGAAAGATTTGGTTTTTTGTATGTAATGGGTAAACTAAAAAAAAATACTTAACCAATTTTAGAACAAAATACTTAAAGAAAGCTACATTATCAGCGAAATAAAAAAAAATACAACCCATGTTATTTATGGGTTATTATTTTATTTTAAAAAAACTGCATCGCTAGTTTCTAAATAAGGCGAGACGTTGCTATACTTCAGTATGAATGCTCTACTAAAGTATTGTGAGTTTAGTGGTACGTACGTAATGCATAGCTAGCGTAGCAATAGCAATCTGAAACTCTCCACATATGGGAGTCATCTGACCTGAGTTTTTTTTTCCTTTTTTTTATGACTGAAAATGGTATGCCCATATAACCCTGCCTGCGCTAACGGGATACGCTGGCGGAGCACCAGTGAAGGGTGATAGATGAGAATGAAAACAGGCCAGTTAGCCCATCATGATGAATTCATCAGGAATTAACCATGATAGTTTCCAGGGAGAACCGCGAGGAGGTCGACCTGTTTGGGTATATTGCTAGCAATAGGATTCTCAGTCTCCATTACTAACAATCCCTATCCTCCCTCTGACCTGAGTTGTTACTAGTTATTACATATTATAATAGTTTGTGATGATGATGATGATTTATGGAAGGAATCTGAACAATGAATCATTATGAGATCAAACGTTTATGACTCACTGTCTTCAATACTTAGTAAATTGAACAAATGTTATATGTTAGTATAATTGTGTTTAACATTTTCCATATAAAAGGTTTTCTGGTCGATAGAATATATATTTTTTGTCATTGTTAAGTAATGAATGTAATAATTCGCCGTATAGGTCCCGGCATAGAATGGACTACTCCTTCCTTTCCCGTGGGTGTAGTAAGAGGCGACTAAGGGAACTTATGATCGATTGATGGGCAGCAGCGTTCCTCTTAAAGCATTACTAAAGACCTAGCTGCGGTCGTCAACTCGCCTGCCAAGCGTGGCAACTACTGGCAAAACTCCTTATTGGGAAGGCCTATGTTCAACAGTGGAAGGTTAACGGCTGATATACTTTAGTTTGTGGCGGGTTGTACGGTGGTGAAAATAATAATAATAATAATCCCCATGATAAGTTTCAGTGGATCAAGATAAGCAGAGAAACGTGCTGTAAGTCCACCTGACGGGGAAGTTGCTACAATACGCAATGTAATATGCAATTTTATAGAGACATTTTTAAGTGACCACGCACGTCCACCGTCTTGTCATGTCGATCACGTCCGCGACACCTATCGTCGCAGATTTCAATACAACTCTTACTACCTTATCCTTACTAATATTATAAATATGAAAGTGAGTTTGTTACGGTTTGACGCTTTTACGACTCTACAAATCATAACTATGTTATGTTTAAAGGATGATAATAGAAAGCTAGTGACATATACATACATATTT